TGAGACTATAGCCGCTCAGAGAAGAAACCGTAGCAACAGGCTCCTATCACTGCGCTACTGAACGGAACGTTTTAAGAGATCCTTTGTTCCTCTAGCTGTCAGACTGTACAACAAACCTGGATGAGTCTCCTGCTGCTGGACACCTGAATTTCTCCTCAATAAAGTATCTATCTGTCTCACTATCTATGTATGTATCTATCTATCTGACTATCTATGCATCTATGCATCTATCTATGTATCTGTGTATCCATGTGTTAGAATTAGATAGCGATTTTGCCTACGTGCAAGACTATACAAGGACTCTGATGCATCCATGTTTTGACTATGATATACTCGTGACTATCTCTGGATGTCTTTCGATGTGTGACGTGACAATGACTATATAAACCAGTGGTGGGCAAACCCCGGCCCGTGGGCCCGATGCGGCCCTTTGGATGCTTCTATCAGGCCCCTGAGCCCTCCTCAATTTCTATAGATTAAGATTAAGATCACAAGAGATTAGGATTAAGAACCTTTGTTCATCCCACAGTGAGGTAATTTCAGTTTAAACACCATAGAATCCCCCTCTGCGCTGTGTTCAGAGCAATTTTTTTCATATAAAAAATACACTTTTGTTTTAAAATTAAGCCTGAGAAAATATTGGAATATCAGACGCCTCTCGGGATCCGGACCTAATTTCCAATGTGGCCCTCAGGAGGAAATGTTTGCCCATGTCTGATATAAACTGTGTACTGCCTTTATTCTGTCTGAGAGAAAGAAACAATTGAAACCACTGGAACTTGAGAGAAACTTAAATAAACTTCCAGAGTTTGGCGCACCACGATCCGTCTCTGTCTGGTTCATTCCTGACACATGTATCTACTGTATCTATCCATCTATTTGTATTGTATTTATTCTATCTATCTATCTATCTACTTACATTACGATTACAATAGAGTGCTTACAGGACATAAGGTGCCCCTCGGAGCCTCTTCTCTGCTGCGTCCCTCAGACTCAGGGCTCTGTGTGAGCAGCTCAGCACCAGGTCGTGCTCATCAGCGTCTTGGCAGAAGGAGGACATCTGGCACCACACCTGCAGCTCCACCAGGGCATCGGTCCAGCTGCATTCAGAGGCCAGCGACGCCAACTGGAGCAGGACCGAGACAGAGAGAGAGAGAGAGGGTGAAAAACATATCTGTTCTAATGGAAAGTTTCTAACTCTCTCACTTTTAATTTGTACTAATCAAAGTAGTCAAGTTGTACTTATCTGTTTTTAGTCTTAGGGGAAACCGGAGTACCCGGAGGAAATCTACGCATGTTGTTTGTCCAAACCGAAAGAGACATGTGAAGGTGAAAAGTTGAGAAAAAGGCAGTCCATCACATGCTGCTTTTATCTTTTTAGAAAATCTGATCAAATATATCTTTTACATACTTGTACAGACAGTTTGGGTTACTCAAATCCCCCAGCAGTGAAGCACCTATAGTGCCTCCAGTGTTGATAATGCATTTCAGTTCAAAAATAGGTAATAATACTGCTTTAAGAATATATATTTTGGTGGCAAAATATATAAAAAAAAAGATCATGACAAAAGAGTATGTATATGTATTATGTAAATAACAGTGGCATTGTGGTCTTAGGGGTTTGGTGCGGCGTGCTTATCAAGTTGTGAGGTAAAAAGAGGAAAAGTGTGAGGTGAAGGGGCTAGAGCAGAGAGGGGGGGGCAGGTGAGGAGTGAGGCAAATGAAAGTGGAAGGAGAGAGATGAGGCAATCAGGGTGAAAACATGCAAAAATGGGATCGAGAGAAGCAGCACAGAAAGGGGAGTGAATTAGGTAATATATTAAACAGAGGAGAAAGGCCGAGCAGCACGACGAGGGATGAGAATAGACGGAAAAGTCGGTCCCCAGGGCAAAAGAAAGTTACTAAAAAGCAACTGCAATACAAAACACAATATAATGTGAACTAAATAGAAGCTGAAATGGAATAGCATCTGGCGTTAGGCAAAAAAGGAGCCACAAACTTCAGCCCAATCCTTTCAGTCTGTAAAATACTTTTTTCAGTTTTTCAGTGGGAGGGGCCACTTGCAGCCGTTCATAACTTTGCATGAGGAGACTAGATCATGCTCTGTCCAGTACACTGCAAAAAGTGATGAAAAATAAGTTAAAAATGGCTCAAATCTGGCAAAATGTACCTTGCCTGCCTTAAAACTAGAATTTCTAAAGGGACAAAGCAAAATGATCTTGTTTTAAAAATATACAAGAATTGTCTCTCCTGGAATGAGAAAATTAAACAAGTTCTTGAAATAAATCAGAAAGACAGTCTTGTACTTGATTTAAACATGTATTACTTTTATCATACATTTTATCATTTTTGCAGTGTATATACAGTCTATGAGTTAAAAGAAAAATAATACACCTCAGATTATTTACTGCCAAAATCAAGAGCAGATCAGAATTGCTTATTTAGTCTATTTTTACCCAAGAAAGTCCAACTGTAACAACCAATAATAATATCAATTTCAAGGCAGTCCTCACATAGAAGACATGCTGCAAAGAAAACCTTACTTGGATTTGACACACACATCTTTTGAATCCAATCTGCCTTTTTGATGAAAATTCAGAGCAATATGAAGTTTTCTCTTTCAAAAGAATGAAAAACTAAACATAGGGCTGTTCAGTTAAGAGAAGCAAATGCATTTATAGATGAGAGCATGGATTTCTGGTCCTCCAGCAGCTTGATCTGTTCCATAATTGCTTATATTCTTCATGCTATAGTGAGCTGCCTTTATGTCTGCGTTAATGAGGCTTCAAAAACATGGCCGACTTTCTGTCCGTACACAATCCACCCTCCATTATCTCGCTGCTGTTTTGTAACATGAATGATGAAACTTTTAATCCCTCTTCTTTGGCAGGAAAACAAGTGCTTAAGTTTTGTCTTCATTGAGTTGTTCCTGGCAGCCTCCACCTCTCGCTGAAGTCAAGTGTGTATTGTTGTGTTGGATTAGAGGCAGATGTATAGAGTATTGTCAAGATAGAGAAGATTTCATGTGGTTCTCAAGAGCTGAAGTTTATTGGACTGTTTAGCAGAGAGCGGGGGAAGAACTAAAGATCTGACATGGTCTAAACCAGAACCATGAGTTAGTTTGGGCGATTGTGTTATTATATTAAAAGTATAATAATCATGAGTCTCTCCATGTTGAACAATCTTGATGTGTGATTTGGATTCTTTTTTGTCTTGAAAGAAAACACAACTAGGGATGCACCGATTGTGAAATGTTGGGTCGATACCAGTGTGTGCGGGTCCCGGCTCAAAAGTGGCCAAAATGACGTGCGCTGACATGCTGCAATACCACCCCGGGCCTGTGGGGGTGGACCCAGAAGAAGAATTAGCCAATGCTAACATATAGCATTAGCAGACCTCTCGAAAACGTCTTTACAGGATGGACCAAAAGTTGTCTCTTGGTCCAAAGCTCCGTTCCACATGTGTGTCAATGCTGAGGGGGGTGTTTTGGTCCACTCTAGTTTACTTGCTGTGAATTTTTGAAGTCTCTCGTTCAAATGAATGGAGCTGCGCCGCTGACGCATGCGCAGATGCGTTTTTTCACAATTTTCTTGTGGGCGGGACCACTCGCGGCCCTTTTGGATAGCTCCAGTAGAGCACATTTTTTGGCCCATTAGTTAGAACGGCGGAGATAGACGTGACTCTGTTCGTTAATATATATACAGTCTATGGTCGATACCGATGTTTAACAAAACAAGATGGCCGATGTTTTTTCTTTTTGTTATTTATATACTGTATATATTTCTTGGCGGCTTCAGTTTTCCGTTTCTCTTCAGCTTCGTGCAGTCGCTGTCACCGCCTCTTCTCAAACTAATGAGATTCTTTGTGTTAAATAATTTTCAAGCAGCTCTTGAAATCTCACTGAAGATTAAGATCAAGAGATCCTCTGTTCGTTCCACAGCGAGGACATTTCAGTGTTGCACCACAAGTCACAGAACAGTAGGAATGATGAGCAAACAGCACAAGATAAATGAACAATAACTAATTAAAATAAAACAAAATCGTGCAAACTGCAAACGCTGATCTTTTTCTGATACTGTCAAATATCGTCACACAGCAGCTGCACTCTTCTTGGTTTCTTCTACTGAGGGAAGTGCACACACGCCCCCTACTGGTGTCTCTTCACACGCGCCCGCATAGACCAAAGTCATTTTAATTTACCGATGAGGATTAGATAGCTGTATGACCTATGCTGAGAAAGCTGAGAATAAACTTCCAGAGCTGTGGTGCGCCATGATCCTGTCTCTGTGCGATTCATTTCCAACATACCGATGACCGATAATAAAAACGACACTGTTCATAAAAGAATTCATCCATCCATCCATTTTCTTCCCCTTAATCCATTTCTGGGTCGGTGGGGGGGGGGGGGGGGGGAGCTGCACCCAGTACACAGAGCACCAGCCCCTCACTGATCCTCCTGCAGGTGCTGAGTCCACAGGCTACATAAAAGAATTGTATCAAGAAAATTATCCATAAGTGAGATTGCGGTGAATACATTTGCTAAAATAGAAATCATATAATTATATCTTGTGCTGCTCTTTTCTAAATGTATGAAACATTTCAAAGCAGAACTTCAGGGACATCTCAAATATCAAAGGAACAGGCATGGGAACAGCAAACCAGACTTTTATTTAAACTCTACATGCAGGCCACGGTTAAAACAAAAAGGGACTGGATGAAAAACAGAAAGAGAGATTGTAACGTACTTAATGACAACATACAAACTAGTAGTAAACAAACTACCATACACTTCTGTTTTAATTCATAATAATAATAAAACAAAAGCTCAGACCACACTTTAATTAAAACTCCCTTCACTCAATTAGCCCCTCCCCCAGTTTTTTATTTTTCAATTTTTACCAATTTTCTTTTCTGAATCCGTATCGAGTCATTTTTATGCGAGGGGGAAAAATATCATTGCATCACAACTTGGATCTCGTATGAACTAAATATTTAATAATGAGCCATAGGGGATGTAGAAGGTCATATACAGAACAGAACTTTTTTTTTTTCAAGAATACCACAATATCTATTCACGTATGATTGATACCGACTCTGGCTCCAACTTGAACTAATGCTGCTGGTGGTGCCTTTGATGGTATTAAAACATACTGTGTTTTTGTGGCAGACTTGCTTTCAGCTCCCTTTGGCCAATACTGCATCTGTTTTTACCATCTGGAGTACAGCCTCCGCAGGACAACAAAACAAAACCCTCACAGTGTAGTGAAAGAAAGAGCACATACTGTGGAGAGAGCAGGGAGAGAGAAGTCCATCTGTCCAGGGCTCCTATTGCACTGAAACATCTCCAGTCCCACCAGAACACGCGTCATCGCTCGCACCTCTGCATTTGGACTCTGGAAGAATGACAGCAGTAGGTGACATGGATTAAAATATGAATGTGTTTTAGAAATCTTACAGTGAAGCAATCTGAATTAACACCAAAGTTATTAACTAACTGTATTCAAAAGCAGCACATATTGTCTGTTTTCAATTATATATGTGTAAAAGAACATTGTGTTCAGGTAAAAGTAGATTTTACGTATATCAGATATGTATCAGGGTAAAGAAGCTTAGTAAGTAATGTAAGTAAGAGTGAAGGTCAATGGTTGTTTGTCCAATGTCTTGCACTCCTCCACTGGGTCACCCCAGGGCTGTGTACTGTCTCCACTTCTGTACATCTTGTACACTAATGACTGTCGCAGCTGCCATGAAAATCATCATATTCTTAAATTTGAAGATGACTCTGTCATTGTGAGTCTTCTGAACGGTGATGAAAACGAGCATGGTCCTGTTGTTAAGGACATGATACAGTGGTGTGACGACTCATTCCTGCAGCTGAATGTTCTTAAGACTAAAGACATGTGTGTGGATTTTCGGAGGAAAGTCTCATCACCTCAAGCTACAGTGATCAAAGGTCAAAGAGTGGAGCTCGTCCAAAGTTACAAGTATCTGGGGACATGGATTGACAACAGGCTGAACTTCAATGAAAACACAGATGTTCTGTGTAAGAAAGGGCAGCAGCTTCTGTTCTGCCTCCGGAAACTGGCCTATTTCCAGGTGGACAGGACGATAATGAGACTGTTTTACAAATCTTGTGTTGAGTCAGTTTTAACTTTTTCCATGTTGAGTTGGTTTGGTAACCTCAATGTCAAAGGGAAAAAGTCACTCAGCAGAATAGTTAACCTGAGTGGTAAGATTTTGAGAGCTCCTCAGACTCCACTTTCTGAGCTGTTCACTGGTCAGGTGACAAGGAGGGCTCTGAGGATTCTGGGTAATGAGGCTCACCCTCTTCATGAAGAGTTTAGTTACCTGCCGTCTGGTTCCAGACTCAGAACTCCAATGATTCGGAGCAATAGATATAAATACTCTTTCGTACCTGCAGCGATCTCTATACTAAACTCAAACTAGAGACGGAGGAAATAGGGGTTGAAATTTTTGCTTGAGGGGGACAGTTTTTGTCTTCTTTTTTTAAACTGCCATTGACCTGACTGGAAGACTGTATATGGACACCTTGTTAGTCTGAATGTATGGGGAAAATGTTTATTCTATGTATTTTTCTTTGTATGTGTCCCTGTGCTGTGAACCAAATTTGCCCCATCGGGGACATGAAATAAAGTGAAGTGAAGAAGTGAGAAGTGAAGTTTATTTATATAGCGCATTTTACAGACCAAGGTCACCCAAAGCACTACACAATGTTCAGCTTAAAGAGAAGCCTTGAGCAACACATATCAATACTGACTTCATTTGTGTAATATCAGAGTCTGTGAAAGTCTGCGAAAGTCTGTGAATGTTTGTGAATGTCTGCCAAAGTCTGTGAAAGTCTGTGAATGTCTGCCAAAGTCTGTGAAAGTCTGTGAATGTCTGCCAAAGTCTGTGAAAGTCTGTGAATGTCTGCCAAAGTCTGTGAAAGTCTGTGAATGTCTGCCAAAGTCTGCCAAAGTCTGTGAAAGTCTGTGAATGTCTGCCAAAGTCTGTGAAAGTCTGTGAATGTCTGCCAAAGTCTGTGAAAGTCTGTGAAAGTTTGTGAATGTCTGCCAACGTCTGTGAAAGTCTGTGAATGTCTGCCAAAGTCTGTGAAAGTCTGTGAATGTCTGTGAATGTCTTTCAACGTCTGTGAATGTCTGCCAAAGTCTGTGAAAGTCTGTGAATGTCTGACAAAGTTTGATTGTCTGATTGTCACAGAGACGGATGGAGCTTGTATTGGCCTTGAAGGCTGATGTAAACACAGACTTTGGAAACATGACTTGGTAGAATGAACAGACACGATGTTATAACTATGAGCTAAGTATGGCTGTGTCATGGAAGACACTGAAGTGTAAAGAAGACATTTATGCTTTGTATGCTGTTTAAAGTACAGTAGTAAGCAATTTTGAAACTCCATAGAACAGTGTCTATATTAATTTGCGAGCAATAATATTTAGAGTGTTGTGGAGAGTACCATCAATCTGTGGCGCAGTGCTGTGGACAATCCTAAAGGAGAAACTCTTGTATCAAGAGCACTTATGGCACCTCTCTTGGGTGCAAACAAAACACACGTGGGTTGTAGTGAGATGAAGTTGGAGCCATATTTTCTGAGCTGGGCTTCTGAGGGTAATAGCTCATGAAAGAACTTCAGAACGAGAGCAATAACACCAAATGGATCACCGCTACATGCTGGCTACTACAATAGAGAAAAGTGATTCAGGACCGGCAACAACTTTTTTCAACATAATTTTATGGACACAAATTACTCACAGAAATGATCAAGAATGTGTATCTATAACTTTAACTTTTGATTTAATAGTTCATGAAGACATATGATCAAATGAACATTCAGGTGATTATCCTGAGAATCTGGTGACAGGTCTCTGCTGGTTATTATTATTAAGGGGTGTTCTTTGTTCCTGGACTTTTTTGTGAATGTATATTTTGTAAAGTGCATGTGTCGGTGTGTTTTAAAGGTTTATAGGAGGATTTTCCCACATTTTAGGAAAGAACCACCCTTTCTGCTTTTTGAACAAAACTCTCTGGTCTTTTTTAACGAGCACGTATCACCAAAATGATTGACAATTGGGAGGAACAATAGTTTTATGATCCATTCGGAAGTAGAAAATCCTCCTGTAAACCTTTAAATACAAAAAATAACTTGTATGAAAAAGGAAGGCAATCGATAAAGGACTTTAAACTACCGCCAGTTTGCCTCAGACTTTGCCTCCTCTTTTAATGAGGCCAATCGGAATAGCAATGGTTTGGTTTTCTCAGAAATGTTTTTCACATTCTGATGGGGGCTGACCTAGTAAAGCAATCACTCTTCCTGGACCTCATTCACAAAATATATATATATAAAAAAAAGGCTGGCTGCTTAATTTGCAGGCATGAATAGGATTTAGTAGAACAATAATGTGTAGCGTAAATTTGGCTGCATTTTGTGTCTGCGGTTTGGGGGATTGGACAGAACCTTTTTGCCTTTTTCAATTAATGCAAATTTCCTAAGCTTCTATTCTTTTAAATAGTGGACTTTGTCTCTCCTTTAGACCTAGACCTAATAACAAGGTGATAAAGCTATGAACTTCAGGCCCATTTAAAATCACTGATAGCAGTTTACAGTGTGCTTTAAATGCACAGAGATAAATTATACAGAGGGTTTAATGTTAAGATCTCTGGCTATAAATTACCCATGGAGATGCTGTGTGATCACAATACGCGTCCTGAATGCGCTGGAGTCGGCCTTGTTGATTATTCATGTCGTGGCAAAGTGTGGAGACAGACATGATTGAATGATTAGTGAATTAATGATTGCAATTAAAGATATAGACTCCTGTGATATTTACAAGGCGTGACATGATGCCGATCTGATGTGGTTCAAGGAGACAGAGTAACACAGGAGACGGAGGCTGGAATGGATTTTTGGTCATTATGAGCTGAAGCAATTACACACCGCTCAGTTCCTGCAGATGATGTGTCTGGAAATCGTTGCATGCACTGTTTACTCTTTACTGGCATTGGCTGCACTTAACAAACTTGATCAGGGTTTCAAAGATTGTATATAGTATTGTTGCACACCTGAATTAATAAGTCCCGCCCCTTTCCTGTCTTAGCCCTTGGTTTTTCGATTATTGCTGCTCTTCAATTTTATCTGCTTTCGTACTTTTTAATTGGTCAAAACATCTCCCTAAAGAATCCAGACACTCTAACACCTGCAAACACAGTAGTGAAGGAAAAGTCAATCAGAATTCCTGAAACTATGGGTCAATCTACGCAATCAATCATATTTAAATACACTCCCACGATCAGAAAAACAGGAGAATAAGTCAAATAACAACATTTCTCAGGTTGATTATACAGTAACTGAAGGACATCAAAAGCTAATTGTAAAACAGACACATAAAAAAGCTAAAAAAAGGTAAAAAAATTGGTAAATAACATTTACCAATAAACATGGTGCAAATGGAAGACTTTGATTCCAAACTGCTCACATCTACAACAAAGACAACTCCACATTAACCTATAAAACACAGGCTCTGCTCTGAGCTTGAAATATTCATGAGTTATATATAAGTAAGTAATGTTTATTTATATAGCGCCTTTCACAGAGACACAAAGCACTTTACTGTTGTTGCTATGGGAGCGAGGTCGCCAAACAAGGAGGCACAAGCCAGGACTTTTGCAACAGGGAGAACATGCAAACTCCACACAGAAAGGCCTGGAGGTGGAATCGAACCCAGGACCTTCTTGCTGTGAGGCACAAGTGCTAACTGTGCCATCCGTAACAATAACAGGAGCATTCTAATCTGATCAGGAAAAGTAAAACGTGGATGATGTGTCAGGGATGTGGCGTTTCAATGATCTATCAACTCAAAGTTATAAATGTTTCCACTTCAGTGAAACTGTGACAACTTTGAAGAAGATAAAAGAGACATTTTAATATTCATGTGACACCATTGGACAAAACAAATGGATGAAGTAAATCAAAACATTTAAAGACCGGCTAAAATAGCTTTAATGAATGGTACTGGCCTCCTGCTGGGACTCTGAGGAGCACAGGGACTGGCCTCCTGCTGGGACTCTGAGGAGCACAGGGACTGGCCTCCTGCAGGGACTGGCCTCCTGCTGGGACTCATCATTGATAGCAGTTTACAGTGTGCTTTAAATGCACAGAGATAAATTATACAGAGGGTTTAATGTTAAGATCTCTGGCTATAAATTACCCATGGAGATGCTGTGTGATCACAATACGCGTCCTGAATGCGCTGGAGTCGGCCTTGTTGATTATTCATGTTGTGGCAAAGTGTGGAGACAGACATGATTAGTGAATTAATGACTGCAATTAAAGATATAGACTGGCCTTCTGCTGGGACTCTGAGGAGCACAGGGACTGGTCTCCTGCTGGGACTCTGAGGAGCACAGGGACTGGTCTCCTGGGACTGTGTTCCGCTCTGCTACAACTGAAGGATTTCCTCTTCACTCTTTTTAAAGCATGGTGATTATTTATGGTTTTGTGTCTGATTGTTTATGTTTAGCTTGAGGTGCCTTGTGTAGGAAATGTGCAAATACATTTGCTTTTCCTTTTCTAATTAATTTCTAATCAGTGCTTTTGCTTCCATGTGATCCTTACCACTTTAACATTACATTTGGAAGGAATCCTGATCTGAAGTGAATGAGCTTTCTGTCACAAGGAAACTGGAATATAATAAAACAGGATGATTCATAACATTATAAACTTTAATACTTATTTAATACACACTTTTATTAACCATGATCAGGGATTAAAAGCTAGTAATGGGGGTGCAGGTGTTGGGCAGGGCTAATAGTTAAGCTTTATGTTTAAGTGTATATAAATATATAGTGACCTGTAGCACGGGTGCACCGCAGGGCACTGTGCTCTCGCCCCTCCTCTTCACCCTCTATACGAGTGACTTCTGCTACAACTCTGAGACATGCCACATGCAGAAGTTCTCAGATGACACTGCAATCGTGGCATGCGTCAGGGGGGGTGATGAAGGGGAGTATAGAGGCTTGGTTGAGAACTTTGTGGAGTGGAGCCAGCAGAACAAGCTTCTTTTAAACTCAGCCAAAACTAAGGAGGTGGTGCTGGACTCTCGCCGGGCACCACCCTCTCTGCAGCCCATTATTATCGAGGGAACTGCGGTGGAAGTGGTTTCCACCTATAAGTACCTGGGGCTGCAGCTGGACAACAAGCTGAGCTGGGCAGCCAACATGGACGCTGTGTACAAGAAGGGGCAGAGTAGGATGTACTTTTTGAGGCGATTGGCATCTTTCAGGGTCTGTGATAAGCTTCTCTACATGTTTTATCAGTCTGTTGTGTCTAGTGTCCTTTTCTATGCAGTTGTCTGTTGGGGGGGCAGTGCACGAAAGAGGGACACTGAGAGGCTGAACCGGCTCATTAGAAAGGCGGGCTCTGTGGTGGGTCTGGGCCTGGATTCAGTGGAGGAGGTGGTAGAGCAAAGAACGCTCTCCAAGATCAGGGTGATCTTGTCCAACCAGAGCCACCCACTGAATTCATTTTTTTCCCGCCAGAGAAGCACCAGGAGCTCCAGACTCCTCTCTCTGAGGTGCTCCAGGGACAGATTAAAAAACTCTTTTGTCCCCAACGCCATCAGGCTCTATAACAAAGCCACTTCAGGGAGGAGCAGGGGGGGGAGGGAGGGGGGTGGGGTGTCTTGAGAATTGTTTTGCAGTGCCTTAACTTCTCTTTTAATGTTTTTATTGTTTTTAATGTATTTATTGTCTCGTTTTTAACTTTTGCATCTTATAATTCTTACCTATGTATGTATTGCTGTATGATTGCGAGCAAGGGACGAGTGCACAATTTCCTTCGGGATTAATAAAGTATATATCTATCTATCTATCTATCTATCTATCTATCTATAAAAGGTGTATAAAAGTGAGGTTTGCTATATAGTGTTATCAAAATTAATGATAGTCAGGTATCTATAAAACAATCTAGATCAGTATTGCTAGCTTTAGACTCCCGCAATCTTGGGACGAACCACATATTGTTGTTATTTGTAAGAATCCGGGCAAAGTAAAACCTCTCCAAAGACAGGAAGACTTCTGTCAGGCCCCCTCTCAGGAAACCATTCCTAGTTCACGTGAAAACAATGTGTTTTTCTGTTATTCTTACCTCATTTCCCAGGTCCAGGGCTGAGCCGATCTGCTGTTGTAACAGTCTCTTGGTCTGAACCCAGGTAGACACAACCTGGCTCCTCTCCGCCAGGGGAACGCCCTCCGCAGGGACCACACCGCCGGTCAACTTCAGAGCAAACTCACACAGCTGGAAGAAGGAAAACGCACAACGCACAAAGTGTTTTAAGACTGAAACATCACAAAGATACATAATATTCTGTTTACGTGATTGTTTCTGTGTCCTGTCCTGCTCCATCTCTGCTGCTGTGACCTAAAGTACTGTTAAATTGTAATACTATTGTTAGCTATTTTAAGAAGGATCAATTTATTTGTGTTTCTGCTGCTACTGGACACCTGCATTTCTCCAGGTGATCGATAAAGTGTCTATCTATCTATTAGTCTCAAGAGGACAGCCAAGTAGTAGTAGTAATAATTTGTATTTAAAACATGCAAAATTGAACAGGAAACAAGAAATAAGCTAAAAGATAAAAAGAATATAACAAGATACAAAGTACAGCGGGGACATAAAGGTCGTGTGCGAGCTCTGAGAGACACGGTGCTGATCCAGGCAGTTAACATCGGTGACAAAAGCCCTGCACAGTTGAAGATCTACTGAACCTGCAGGTTTTCTCATCTGCTTTTTTCTGTTTAGGCAAACACTGTTGTCATGAAATTTGTAAACAAGAATCAATTACATTTTCTATCAATTCATTGAGAACCCTAAAACGCCACTGGGTCAAGACGACAGATGTTCATGTTTATTAAGACGCTCAGCCACCGGGCGGCACGGTGGAGTTTGCATGTTCTCCGCGTGCCTGTGTAGGTGCCCATCCATCCATCCATTTTCTACCCCTTAATCCATTTCTGGGTTGGGGGGGGTGGTCAGAGATGCCACCTAGTACACACAGCACCAGCCCCTAGGTGCCCCTACCACTAAAACCAATAGATCTGTCATACGTCTCCTGTATGACAAAAATAAGTGTCACTATAAAAATAATTGTAAACCGCTTTGTGACTCGAAAAGGCGCTATATAAATAAAGAGTACTGAATCATGCAAAAATCAAGAGTGATACAATTGGAAGCTAAATCAATTGTTGCATGGTTAAAAGCTCAAATTATTTGCTACAGTAGTCAGATAATAACTTAATTTATACAGATCCCAGTGACACGTCTTGAGCAGCAACATATCTCTCTCTATCTGTCTCATATCTTAGACCAGGCTCAGTCTGAACACTGTGCTGCCCGCGGCCGCAGCTTGTCTCTCCACTCAACTTGTTCAGAAAAGGCAATGAAAATCCAGGGCGACTTTGTTCAAGACCTGACCTCCGCTCTACTGTGCACTATTTATGAAAAATGCATGAGAAAGAGAAACAGATAAGAAGAGATTTTGTGAATAATTCAATGATAAAATGACTTTTATCCTGAGTTACAGCTGATATTCATGGAAGGAAGACAGAAAGCAGAGTTAATTGGAGACTGGAGCAGTGGGAGGAAGGGACAAATCTGGCAACATAAAATATATAAATGTGTGTGCGTGTGTGTGTGTGTGTGTGTGTGTGTGTGTGTGTGTGTGTGTGTGTGTGTGTGTGTGTGTGTGTGTGTGTGTGTGTCTGGTTTGATAAACTGTTGTTGCCAGAATATTAATAAAGATTAGGATGAATGAAAACAGAGACAGAGAGAGAGCCAAAACATTCTATATTTTGCCTAAGAAATCAGAAACACAAGTGAGTCATTCTGCTCTCTGATTGGATAACTGATTATGAATGTATCCCCTTGAAACTTGTGTGTGTCCTGAATTGTGTGTCTGTCTGAATGTGTATGTGTGTGTGTCCTGACCTGTGTGTCTGTCTGAATGTGTGTGTGTGTGTCCTGACCTGTGTGTCTGTCTGAATGTGTATGTGTGTGTGTCCTGACCTGTGTGTCTGTCTGAATGTGTATGTGTGTGTGTCCTGACCTGCGTGTCTGTCTGAATGTGTATGTGTGTGTGTCCTGACCTGTGTGTCTGTCTGAATGTGTATGTGTGTGTGTCCTGACCTGCGTGTCTGTCTGAATGTGTATGTGTGTGTGTCCTGACCTGTGTGTCTGTCTGAATGTGTATGTGTGTGTGTCCTGAACTGTGTGTCTGTCTGAATGTGTATGTGTGTGTGTCCTGAACTGTGTGTCTGTCTGAATGTGTATGTGTGTGTGTCCTGACCTGTGTGTCTGTCTGAATGTGTATGTGTGTGTGTCCTGAATTGTGTGTCTGTCTGACTGTGTATGTGTGTGTGTCCTGAACTGTGTGTCTGTCTGAATGTGTATGTGTGTGTGTCCTGACCTGTGTGTCTGTCTGAATGTGTATGTGTGTGTGTCCTGACCTGTGTGTCTGTCTGAATGTGTATGTGTGTGTGTCCTGACCTGTGTGTCTGTCTGAATGTGTATGTGTGTGTGTCCTGACCTGTGTGTCTGTCTGACTGTGTATGTGTGTGTGTCCTGAACTGTGTGTCTGTCTGAATGTGTATGTGTGTGTGTCCTGACCTGTGTGTCTGTCTGAATGTGTGTGTGTCCTGAACTGTGTGTCTGTCTGAATGTGTATGTGTGTGTGTCCTGAACTGTGTGTCTGTCTGAATGTGTATGTGTGTGTGTCCTGAACTGTGTGTCTGTCAGACTGTGTATGTGTGTGTGTCCTGACCTGCGTTTCTGTCTGAATGTGTATGTGTGTGTGTCCTGAACTGTGTGTCTGTCTGAATGTGTATGTGTGTGTGTCCTAAACTGTGTGTCTGTCTGAATGTGTATGTGTGTGTGTCCTGAACTGTGTGTCTGTCTGAATGTGTATGTGTGTGTGTCCTGACCTGTGTGTCTCTCTGAATGTGTATGTGTGTGTGTCCTGAATTGTGTGTCTGTCTGACTGTGTATGTGTGTGTGTCCTGAACTGCGTGTCTGTCTGAATGTGTATGTGTGTGTGTCCTGACCTGTGTGTCTGTCTGAATGTGTATGTGTGTGTGTCCTGACCTGTGTGTCTGTCTGAATGTGTATGTGTGTGTGTCCTGAACTGTGTGTGTCTGACTGTGTATGTGTCCTGAACTGTGTGTCTGTCTGAATGTGTATGTGTGTGTGTCCTGACCTGTGTGTCTGTCTGAATGTGTATGTGTGTGTGTCCTGACCTGTGTGTCTGTCTGAATGTGTATGTGTGTGTGTCCTGAACTGTGTGTCTGTCTGACTGTGTATGTGTGTGTGTCCTGACCTGTGTGTCTGTCTGAATGTGTATGTGTGTGTGTCCTGAACTGTGTGTCTGTCTGACTGTGTATGTGTGTGTGTCCTGACCTGTGTGTCTGTCTGAATGTGTATGTGTGTGTGTCCTGAACTGTGTGTCTGTCTGACTGTGTATGTGTGTGTGTCCTGACCTGTGTGTCTGTCTGAATGTGTATGTGTGTGTGTCCTGAACTGTGTGTCTGTCTGACTGTGTATGTGTGTGTGTCCTGACCTGTGTGTCTGTCTGACTGTGTATGTGTGTGTGTCCTGACCTGTGTGTCTGTCTGAATGTGTATGTGTGTGTGTCCTGACCTGTGTCGTGTCTGAGTGCTATATAAAACCAATGTATTATTAATTGTATTACTAAGTCCTATCCACCACAGCATACACCAACATAGTGCAACAGGCTCCCCTCTCTCTCTTCTCTCTCTCTCTCTCTTTGTACCTCCAGAGCCTTGCGGGCATCTTGCAGGCCTGAAGGGTCCAGGGCCGGCCCCCCCACAGCGGCCACACCCCCTCTGCCTCTGCCTTTGTCCACTGGCACCGGTGTCTCCACGGCGACTGGAGCAGACAGGGGCTGGATGAGGCCTCGAGCCACCACGTTACACAGCATTGCAAAAAGAGCACAATCCCTAAGAGACAAAAACATATCAACACAAGTCTGAAGGAGGAAGGAGAAACTATTTTATTTTCACTTTACTCCATGAATTTAAAATAATGTGTATGTATCTGGAAATGTGTATTTTCAGATAGTGTGATACATAATGAATATAATTACTGCCGGAGGACATTTTTGGTCCTGCTTAGCGCTTTGGCAGCAGGTGAAACGTTGCTTTTTTCTCACTGAATGAACCACAAAAGCAGTCTGTGGCAAAATGACAAGTTTGACAGACTCTTCATTTACTACTGTAGCCAAAAGTACAGAGCTGTCGCTGAGAGGGAGAAAATTGCTGGTGTCACCTAGAAATATGTTTGTACTGGTCTTTAGGGGTTTGGTAAATGATTGGCAGGAAAGAAAAACAGATGACAAAGGCCATAGAGAGCAAAACTTGTATTATTACAGTTTTCAACAAAAGCCAAACATGAATTAGTTACTTCTGAATCATAACATTGCATTTTTGTTGCGTTAGCGAGACATACATTTTAGAAAGTAAGGAAAGGAGAACAATAAAACGCAAATCAAGAGCAACTTTGTGAAGTGTTTTATTTGTAATGTCTCTAGTGTGAGATTAAAAAACTCTTTCTGATCTTATTATTATTGCGGCCAAAGTGAAAGAAACCAACTTTTAAACGCAATTTTAAACTCAATCCAGCCTTAAAAATAACTCAACCTATACATGTTTGGGTGGTTTTACTTCAAGCACACACTGTTTTTTCATCAGTGTCATTTTGGGAAAGACCTGATCACATTTGATGGTGATTTTACGCTTCAGAAACTGTTTCAGGCCACTGTACATGGATGTTAATAATACATTGCAGGCATTTCATTTGGTGCTTTTTCAAACGCTGACATTAATCAATCACTCAGCAATGGTGTCGGTAAGCAACTCTGGAGCCACAGCTGCCTTGGGACAGAATGACAGAAGCAAGAATGCCAATCTATGCCCCTCTGACCCATGAAAGAGAGTCATTCTAGGAAATGTGGGTTCTTTCCTCTCTGAAGTCTTCCCTAAGGACAGCACTACAGTCTAGGAATCTTGTCTTCTCAGTAGATTAAGTTATGGTATGGTATGTACTCATTGAGCAGGGACAGTGTACAATTAAACATGAACAAAAAGGAGAGATGTATTGTTCCAGGTTATAGCAAAGATGCTAATTTCAACCTGTAATTGTAACTTATTGGTTCTTCTATACCAGACGAATGCTGTCTTTGTCATTCCCAGGTTAGCACTTTAGAGCCTCAGCCGCTCTTTAGGAACTCCCCCATGGTCTCCCATCACAAAATGAATAGAAATATTTCCTGCTTAGATGTGTATTTATACAATTTTATGTACAGAAATGATATGGCAACAACAATTGGAGGCTACTGATCATTATTTTCTAGTGTTGATTATAACGAGATCAAAAACCAGCCCATACTACAGTAGTACTTTGAGCCGTGTCCTACCCTGAGTACTGCATCTTCTGCATGAGGTCCACCACAGGCCTGAAAGTGGGCAGGAGGAGCTGGTAATGCCTCCGTGAGAGTATGTGCTTGTTGTAATTCCACAGGTAAATGGCGGCGTTTGCAACAACCCATGACTCTGAGATCTCCGCCCCGAGCTCAGCAGCGCGCACGAAAGAGGAGGAGGCGTAGGCTGAGAGCGAAACAATCCAGTCTCTGCAGACGGTCGAGTAAGGCGGGGAAACAACAAAAGTTAGAGAGGAAAACAAACATTGAAAACTGCATTGAAAGAGGATCTCTTCAACAGTTGAATCAAAAATATACACTGCAAAAGCTGAAAGCATAGATTTGTTTGACTTTTTTAATCACACACATATTACTTGTTATTAATATTTTTTGGAAAGATCAAGATCCACTGGCAGATAATTTTGCCTGAAACAAGTACATTTTCTCTGATAGTAGATATTATTTATTGTTTTTTTGAGCCTCTTTCTTCAGTGTAGTCAAAGTAATCAAGTCGATATTTTGATTTTCATATTTTGTGCTCCTCCTTCCTCCTGTATCTCCTCCTCCACTCTCTCGCCTTTTTCCAAGAGACTTTGGACTTCTGTTTCAACCCATTTTAGTTCTCCAGTGACTTTTGTTTAATGAAAGACATTTGAATCTTGAATCTGCATTTGGATTTTTTAAATAATATTTCTCTGCTGCTCCTAACGCACAGTACAGCAGGAGACAGAGGTCCTTAAAGATGTTTTGAAGGTTATTCGTAATGAAGCGTTCACCACACATTTGTCTAAGCACCTGGATGCGCAGCAGTAGCTTTCACTTACGATAATGTCACCACTTGCTGAAACTACATTATTGTATTCAGAAGAGCACATTTAAAACAGTGGGAGGTAGCGCGGAAGTTACAGTCTGGAAAAGGTCGTAAAGGCGGGTGTCGTGTTTGTGTATATCAATAACAGTTAGGAGCTGTTTTCTCAAGTCACACTCGGTTATGAATAAATCTGAATCTGACTCTCAAGCCATGTCAGTGCCCATAGACTGTAACCCGATTTTGTTTTTAATGAGTTCATAAAAATGCTTATTACTACATACAAGTTGTAATCCGTGTGTGGTACTATGTTTTCGTTTGGGAATTTTTCATAACAATATAGAGCCAAAACCATCTAAATTGTACTTAAGAGTTCACATAATGCACCAAATTCCACCAAATAAGAAAACTAGTGCTAGAACCAAATCGTTTTGAGGTGTTTTTTGTGGTTTCAAAGTAAGCTTCTCCATTGTTAATTTGTACTTTATCATTAGGAAGGCTAGAAACAAGCTTCTCATGTCAAATGAAAATGTATGCTAAATTAACCACACATACAAATAGACCATTTGTTGTGACAACCCAGCAGGGAGATATTGAAATGAATGTGTTGTTATCCATTCAAAACTGGCATCACACTGTCCCTGCAATAACCCCACTACAATAAGTTCAAATTCAGAGTTTGTACCTGTAAACGATCCAGTCAGCATTTTTCTCGCTCACAGACTCCTCCTTCACAAGCGGAGGCACAGGACAGCCATTGAGCTGAACCCCTTCTGTGTGCAGCTTCTGAACAACAGCCTAAGCGAGACATAAAAACAACACATTTATTTATCGAATTCACGGGACAACAGTGCTCGTGACAACTGTTTTGACAACTTTATAATACAAGCAGAATGGAAGACGCCCTGCTGAGTCTGTGTCACATCTCCAGAGCATTTTAAAGCTCAGTTTTGGCTGATCAAAGAACTGGGTGAATGGTGATGACTTTGTTTCAGTGCCGGAAAATGCATTCAAGACAAACGAACCCTCCTCCTCTTATTAAGTCAGTGGTTATGATGATTTCTGAAGAATATGCATAGTTTGAAGAAGAAAGCTTTATGGGTCCATAGGGCACCGGCTGGGAGAGAGAGTCTGCCTTTGAGCAACTCATGCTGTGGATTGTTGTCTTTATTTCTTTCAAAGTGCTGTCGAGTTGGTGCTGGATCTCTTTGGACTTTGGGTGTGGGAGCCTGGGGCGAGGCAGGAGTGGGATTACATGATAAGACAAGCTCCAAACACAAGCAAAACAAATTTACCACAACAGCCAGTCTGCCTCTGGGACTTCACATCCCAGAACCACGGCTGATGTATGCATGATGAAGACTTCAGATGAGCTACTGTACATGAATACGATTTATGGTTTGCACAGGCATAAAATGACGAAGAGTCATGCACATATATGATTAAACACAAATAGAAAAGCTTGAGGAGGAAGTGATGAAGAGAGATTTTGAAGTAGCTACTATAGAAATCAAGTATGGCGTATCACAGTAGGGCCACATGAAAGAACAAAAGTCTGTGGATCTGAGGGAGTGAGGAGGTCTGAGGGAGTGAGGAGGTCTGAGTCTGTGGGTCTGTGGGAGTGAGGAGGTCTGAGTCTGTGGGTCTGAGGGAGTGAGCAGGTCTGAGTCTGTGGGTCTGAGGGAGTGAGCAGGTCTGAGTCTGTGGGTCTGAGGGAGTGAGGAGGTCTGAGTCTGTGGGTCTGAGGGAGTGAGGACGTCTGAGTCTGTGGGTCTGTGGGAGTGAGGAGGTCTGAGTCTGTGGGTCTGAGGGAGTGAGGAGGTCTGAGTCTGTGGGTCTGAGGGAGTGAGGAGGTCTGAGTCTGTGGGTCTGAGGGAGTGAGGACGTCTGAGTCTGTGGGTCTGTGGGAGTGAGGAGGTCTGAGTCTGTGGGTCTGAGGGAGTGAGGAGGTCTGAGTCTGTGGGTCTGAGGGAGTGAGGAGGTCTGAGTCTGTGGGTCTGAGGGAGTGAGGACGTCTGAGTCTGTGGGTCTGAGGGAGTGAGGAGGTCTGAGTCTGTGGGTCTGAGGGAGTGAGGACGTCTGAGTCTGTGGGTCTGTGGGAGTGAGGAGGTCTGAGTCTGTGGGTCTGAGGGAGTGAGCAGGTCTGAGTCTGTGGGTCTGAGGGAGTGAGGAGGTCTGAGTCTGTGGGTCTGAGGGAGCGAGGAGGTCTGAGTCTGTGGGTCTGAGGGAGTGAGGAGGTCTGAGTCTGTGGGTCTGAGGAAGTGAGGAGGTCTGAGTCTGTGGGTCTGAGGGAGCGAGGAGGTCTGAGTCTGTGGGTCTGAGGGAGTGAGGAGGTCTGAGGTAGTGAGGAGGTCTGAGTCTGTGGGTCTGAGGGAGTGAGGAGGTCTGAGTCTGTGGGTCTGAGTCTGTGGGTCTGAGGGAGTGAGGTGGTCTGGGGGAGTGAGGAGGTCTGAGTCTGTGGGTCTGAGGGAGTGAGGAGGTCTGAGTCTGTGGGTCTGAGTCTGTGGGTCTGAGGGAGTGAGGAGGTCTGAGGGAGTGAGGAGGTCTGAGTCTGTGGGTCTGAGGGAGCGAGGAGGTCTGAGTCTGTGGGTCTGAGGGAGTGAGGAGGTCTGAGTCTGTGGGTCTGAGGGAGTGAGGAGGTCGGAGTCTGTGGGTCTGAGGGAGTGAGGAGGTCTGAGTCTGTGGGTCTGAGGGAGTGAGCAGGTCTGAGTCTGTGGGTCTGAGGGAGTGAGCAGGTCTGAGTCTGTGGGTCTGAGGGAGTGAGCAGGTCTGAGTCTGTGGGTCTGAGGGAGTGAGGAGGTCTGAGTCTGTGGGTCTGTGGGAGTGAGCAGGTCTGAGTCTGTGGGTCTGAGGGAGTGAGGAGGTCTGAGTCTGTGGGTCTGAGGGAGTGAGGAGGTCTGAGTCTGTGGGTCTGAGGGAGCGAGGAGGTCTGAGGTAGTGAGGAGGTCTGAGTCTGTGGGTCTGAGGGAGAGAGGAGGTCTGAGTCTGTGGGTCTGAGGGAGAGAGGAGGTCTGAGTCTGTGGGTCTGAGGGAGTGAGGACGTCTGAGTCTGTGGGTCTGTGGGAGTGAGGAGGTCTGAGTCTGTGGGTCTGAGGGAGTGAGGAGGTCTGAGTCTGTGGGTCTGAGGGAGTGAGGAGGTCTGAGTCTGTGGGTCTGAGGGAGTGAGGACGTCTGAGTCTGTGGGTCTGTGGGAGTGAGGAGGTCTGAGTCTGTGGGTCTGAGGGAGTGAGCAGGTCTGAGTCTGTGGGTCTGAGGGAGTGAGGAGGTCTGAGTCTGTGGGTCTGAGGGAGCGAGGAGGTCTGAGTCTGTGGGTCTGAGGGAGTGAGGAGGTCTGAGTCTGTGGGTCTGAGGGAGTGAGGAAGTCTGAGTCTGTGGGTCTGAGGGAGTGAGGTGGTCTGAGTCTGTGGGTCTGAGGGAGAGAGGAGGTCTGAGTCTGTGGGTCTGAGGGAGTGAGGAGGTCTGAGTCTGTGGGTCTGAGGGAGCGAGGAGGTCTGAGTCTGTGGGTCTGAGGGAGTGAGGAAGTCTGAGTCTGTGGGTCTGAGGGAGTGAGGTGGTCTGAGTCTGTGGGTCTGAGGGAGAGAGGAGGTCTGAGTCTGTGGGTCTGAGGGAGTGAGGAAGTCTGAGGGAGTGAGGAGGTCTGAGTCTGTGGGTCTGAGGTAGTGAGGAGGTCTGAGTCTGTGGGTCTGAGGGAGTGAGGAGGTCTGAGGTAGTGAGGAGGTCTGAGTCTGTGGGTCTGAGGGAGTGAGGAGGTCTGAGTCTGTGGGTCTGAGTCTGTGGGTCTGAGGGAGTGAGGTGGTCTGGGGGAGTGAGGAGGTCTGAGTCTGTGGGTCTGAGGGAGTGAGGAGGTCTGAGTCTGTGGGTCTGAGTCTGTGGGTCTGAGGGAGTGAGGAGGTCTGAGTCTGTGGGTCTGAGTCTGTGGGTCTGAGGGAGTGAGGAAGTCTGAGTCTGTGGGTCTGAGGGAGTGAGGTGGTCTGGGGGAGTGAGGAGGTCTGAGTCTGTGGGTCTGAGGGAGTGAGGAGGTCTGAGGGAGTGAGGAGGTCTGAGTCTGTGGGTCTGAGGGAGTGAAGAGGTCTGAGTCTGTGGGTCTGAGGGAGTGAGGAGGTCTGAGTCTGTGGGTCTGAGGGAGTGAAGAGGTCTGAGTCTGTGGGTCTGAGGGAGTGAGGAGGTCTGAGTCTGTGGGTCTGAGGTAGTGAGGAGGTCTGAGTCTGTGGGTCTGAGGGAGCGAGGAGGTCTGAGTCTGTGGGTCTGAGGGAGTGAGGAGGTCTGAGTCTGTGGGTCTGAGGGAGTGGGGAGGTCTGAGTCTGTGGGTCTGAGGGAGTGAGGAGGTCTGAGTCTGTGGGTCTGAGGGAGTGAGGAGGTCTGAGTCTGTGGGTCTGAGGGAGTGAGGAGGTCTGAGTCTGTGGGTCTGAGGGAGTGAGGAGGTCTGAGTCTGTGGGTCTGAGGGAGTGAGGAGGTCTGAGTCTGTGGGTCTGAGGGAGTGAGGAGGTCTGGGGCAGTGAGGAGGTCTGAGTCTGTGGGTCTGAGGGAGTGAGGAGGTCTGAGTCTGTGGGTCTGAGGGAGTGAGGAGGTCTGAGTCTGTGGGTCTGAGGGAGTGAGGAGGTCTGAGTCTGTGGGTCTGAGGGAGTGAGGAGGTCTGGGGGAGTGAGGAGGTCTGAGTCTGTGGGTCTGAGGGAGTGAGGAGGTCTGAGTCTGTGGGTCTGAGGGAGTGAGGAGGTCTGAGTCTGTGGGTCTGAGGGAGTGAGGAGGTCTGAGTCTGTGGGTCTGAGGGAGTGAGGAGGTCTGGGGGAGTGAGGAGGTCTGAGTCTGTGGGTCTGAGGGAGAGAGGAGGTTTTAGTCTGTGGGTCTGAGGGAGTGAGGGGTTTGAGTCTGTGGGTCTGAGGGAGTGAGGAGGTCTGAGGGAGTGAGGAGGTCTGAGTCTGTGGGTCTGAGGGAGAGAGGAGGTTTTAGTCTGTGGGTCTGAGGTATTGAGGGGTTTGAGTCTGTGGGTCTGAGGGAGTGAGGGGTTTGAGTCTGTGGGTCTGAGGGAGTGAGGAGGTCTGAGTCTGTGGGTCAGAGAACCTGACAGAGAACCTTCAGCTTTCACAAAGGTTGAATGTTGTGGGGATTTTAGTGTCCTTTGCCATCCTGAACTTTTTACCTTCTTTTTTCTTTAAAGCCGCACTTTACTGCAATAAACTCTGGAAGTGAACCGAGCCAAACAGGAGAGACTCAGACAAACATCCCCAAACTACTCTCAGCAACTCTCCAGCGCATGTATGACCCCAACTGCATTATGGGGGATGTAGTGCTGTGCAAGTGATTATTAGTCCAGTCAGGCGGCAGTCGCTATTTCTCACCGTCACCGCTTGGCTCATCCGACTGCAGACGGACTGGTCTGTCGATTCTACCAGGAGTCACATTACCTCAAGGCGGACTGACTCCAGGACGAACAATTATCAGAACCTCTGTAGAAATGTCTTAAACCAATCACAGATCGGTTGGAGACAGTATCGAAGAAGACGGTCCCAGCACATAGACATACATTATTTCCAATAATACTTTGCTATATACTGGGCTGGGTTATAAGAGTAAATCAACTCTTACTACTTACTGTGCAAACATAGCTCAGTGTTTTGCGTTGACCTACATAAAAAAAGAATACAAAAACAGCTATTTTGCATTCTTCCTGTTTGGTTCTTCAGCTGCGACTAAACACAAGTCATAAAATGGGCAGCTTGACGCAGACGTCCAACCCTTCACTATTTGAAATGAGAAATGTAAGGTAATAAAATACACTGCACCCGCGACCCAGGCAAGCCGGCCAAGCTGCGGGGTTGTGTGTGAGATAACAAAAACACACGGCTCGGAACATCTAAGGCGATGGAGGTCGGATAGAGAACCACAATGGCATAGATACAGCAGTCATCTCAAAGACAGTGATCGTCCCCAGAGCACGCCTCTGACTCCCACCCCCGGCGAGTTCAAAGGGGGCCAGTGGGTCTGCATCGCCTCAAACAATGGGCCGGCGATCCGGCAATGGCGTTCCATCACCCCCCCAGTGGACACGGGACGCCAATACACCTGAGACGGACAACTGAAACCACGGATGAATATGTTGTTTTGCTAACATCTTAAATCAGAAAACCATTGTACCATTGTCTGTGAACAAGGTGTGTTGTGTGTCTATGTCTAAGTAACGTGTATGCGGTTAAAACTATGATTTCATGAAAGGAGTTCTGGAGGCGCGGAAAGTTGACGTCATAAGACACGCCCCCAGAGCCGGAACAAAAACAGAGACACAGCAACTTTTCGTGTGTTCACTTTTGCTTGTGAACCTTTTGGGAACTCTCTTTGAAACTTTCTCTGGGCCAGTGGGCCGCGTCTTGGAGCCCGGCCCACTCCCCTGCGCGATCCAGGGGCCCACAACTTCAACCCAGGTTGGAGCTCGTTGCCCGGACTAATGGCCGATCCTTTTTGCTATCGAGCTGAACTCCACTTGCCTGTCCCGCAGCGGCGTAACGGCTCTCCAACTCCCACCAAAAAGGAGCACCGTGGACCATCGCGCCTCAAGCCACCTCCGGGCTTCCCGGGACCGATCCCCGCTCCCTGCTCCCGTGTGTGGGAAAGACTGGAGTGTGTGCGCGCCCGCTCTCCGTGCGTGAGGAAGACTGAAGTGTTTGAGCGCCTGACCCAAACGGGTGAAAAGCATCTTCACCTCTGGGACTTGGCAGTAACAGTAAGACTTGCTGGGGTTGTATTGTGTGTGATGGTGATGTGTTTCTGACATTCCTGTTCATGTGACTTATCATACTTGTGTGATCCCTCCCGGTTACCGTTCCCGTTTCTATATGTAGTTAATAAACCCACGTTAACTTTTAAGAGTCGTCAGCGTTCTTTGTATAATTCATGATATCCCTGGCCGATATAGAACTCAAGACCTATCAGATTATGAGACTGATCGAGGCAGAATGGACTAGTTCAATTGCAACTTCTTGCTGGTGCCCCTCTTACTTAAATTTAGATCCATTCAACCCGGAGTAGGCGAGGCTTAGGACTACGTTTGCGACGTTTAATACCGACACAAACTGGTGCAAAGCCTCCCCTCTCCACATTCACTTTCTTACCCTACAGAAAATATTGTAAAATTGTGTGGTTCTGGCTGGTCAGGCTAAGGAAACATGAGGCCAAGAAGAAAATCCACAGAAGAGAAGCCAAAGGAAGAGAAGCCAGAGAAGAGAAACCAGAGAACCACTTAACCAAGTATTCAATCTGAAAAGTACAAAATGTATTATATTACAGCTTAAAGGCATTTTCAAGGACATAATAATTGGATTTTGGAGTGTTTCCAGCTAAAACCAGCAGGTGTGGGCGTTTTCAAACATTTCATGAGAAGACTGATTGGATTATTTGACTATGGGACCTTGGCAGAAGATTGTGGTGTCTGAGTTCATCATTTCCCGCTGTGACAATGACAATCTGCATTAGCGTCAAAAAAGACTTTCAGGAATTAAACTAGTACTTAAACTGTCTACCCAACAATATCAATTTAGGAGCAGAAAAACCTATTTTACATGACGACGTGAATATGGTGGATACCTCTGCATTTATAAAGTGGATTTCAGCTAAAAGGCGGAGCAATTCTCGGTTGATTCCGTCGTCCATTTGAATTGGGCTTCCTCTTTTTGAAGAACAGTCTGGAATCAAACATACAAACCAGATTAGTGAAGACATTGACAATTACAAAAACCTTAAATATATATGAATATTTAAGAAAGAGTGTATCTCACAAAATCTCTCATTACAGCTGGAGTAACTATCAATCTAACTAGTTCCTAGCTTTCAAAACTGTTTGTTCTATCACTACTTTTCACATACATGTATTTTTAGCCTCAGTCACATATTAAGATCAGAGTTTTCCATCCAATCAGCTCTCAGTATGTAAAAGATAAAATGTTTTCAAAGAAACATGTTGTGGTTGTATCCCCACTGTGGGACAGATAAAGATTCTTCTGTTGTATCTGATTTGCGTGGCTTTGTCTCGGGACAAACACACTGTATTATTGAACAATAGGTACTCCAGCTTTAATCAGAATCAGAATCAGAATCATTTTTATTGCCACGTAAGTAACAGGAGGTCACAGACTAGGAAATTGCTTTGGCTCAGTGCAACAGTCAAAAAGAGATAATACAAATAAGAATAAAAAACACTTCTAAAGAATAAATTTAAATTTAAAATAGAGTTACAGTTACTATTTACAATATACAAGTGCACATGGTGCACACAATGTAAGGTGACAGTAGTGAAGTAAAGTGACGTATGATGGGCAGTAAAGTGACTTTATAAAGGGCGGGGGGACAGGTTAAGAAGTGTTCAAGAGTCCAACAGCAGAGGGGAAGAAACTGTTCTTGTGGCGGGAGGTTCTAGTCCTGATGGACTGCAGCCTCCTGCCTGAGGGGAGTGGTTGGAATAGTCCATGTGCAGGGTGAGAGGGGTCGGCTGTGATACGACCAGCCCGGCCTCGAGCTCGGGCGACGTACAGGTCCTGCAGCGATGGAAGGCTGCGGCCGATCACTTCCTCTGCAGAGCGCACAATGCGCTGTAGTCTCTGTTTGTCCCTGACTGTGGCTCCAGCGAACCACACGGTGACGGAGGAGGTGAGGATGGACTCGATGATGGCCGTGTAGAACTGCACCAACATCTGTGCAGGCAGCTTGGCTTTCCTGAGCTGCCGCAGGAAGTACATCCTCTGCTGGGCCTTCTTGATGAGGGAGCTGATGGTCGGCTCCCACTTGAGGTCCTGGGTGATGGTGGTGCCCAGGAAACGGAAGGACTCCACAGAGGTGATGGGGGAGTCCATCACGGAGGGTGGGGGTGGGGGGACAGTGCTCTTCCTGAAGTCCACAATCATCTCCACTGTCTTCTGGGCGTTCAGCTCCAGGTTGTTACCACTGCACCAGGACACCAGCCGGTCCACCTCCCTCCTGTAGGCGGACTCATCGTTGTTGGAGATGAGTCCAATGAGGGTGGTGTCGTCCGCGAACTTGATCAGCTTCACGGAGTCGTGGCTGGAGGTGCAGTGGTTGGTGTACAGAGAGAAGAGCAGGGGAGAAAGAACACAGCCCTGTGGGGCTCCTGTATTTATAATCCGAGAGTCCGAGACATTCTTCCCCAGACGCACTCGCTGCTTCCTGTCCGTCAGGAAGTCAGTGATCCACCTGCAGGTGGAATCGGGCACGTTGAGCTGGGAGAGCTTGTCCTGGAGCAGGGATGGCAGGATTGTGTTGAAGGCAGAGCTGAAGTCCACGAACAGGACCCTGGCGTAGGTCCCCGGGGAGTCCAGGTGCTGTAGGATGTGGTGGAGGGCCAGGTTAATGGCGTCGTCTACAGATCTGTTGGCTCTGTAGGCGAACTGCAGGGGGTCCAGGAGGGGGGAGGTGAGGGACTTGAGATGGGAGAGAACCAGGCGTTCAAATGACTTCATGACGACAGACGTAAGTGCTACAGGTCTGTAGTCATTGAGTCCTGTGATCCTGGGCTTCTTCGGGACGGGGACAATGATGGAGGATTTGAAGCAGGCCGGGACATGGCAGGACTGCAGAGAGGTGTTGAAAATGTCCGTGAACACAGGAGTAAGCTCACTGGCGCAGTGTCTCAGAGTGGCCGGAGACACGTGGTCCGGGCCAGGAGCTTTGCGGGGGTGCAGCCTCAGGAAGAGTTGTTTAATCTCTTTAGCGGCTATTGTTAGGCTGGGGGCAGGGCTGATGGGTGGGTCGTTAGAGTAGTGGGGGGTGGGGGAGGGAGAGGTGTCAGGGGCAGCATCAAAGCGACTGAAAAATAAGTTCAGATCGTCAGCTAGCTTGTGGTCGTCAGCACAGGGGGGGGCTTTGGGTTTGTAGTTGGTGATCTCCCGTAGGCCCCTCCAGACAGAAGCAGTATCGTTGTTACCAAACTGCTCCTGTAGTCGTTCTCTGTGCCGGGACTTGGCTGCTTTCAGTTCTTTCCTGAACTGATATTTAGCTGCTTTGTAGCCGCTGCGGTCCCCCTCCCTGAAAGCAGACTCCTTTGCTTTCCTGAGCTGCCGGAGTTTAGCAGTGAACCAGGGTTTGTCGTTGTTATAGATGACCCTGGTCCTTGTTGGAATGATGCTATCCTCACAGAAGTGGATGTATGACGTCACAGTGTCTGTATATTCATCCAAACTATCTGTGGCAGCTCTGAAAAGGTCCCAGTCTGTAGATTCCATGCATGCGCGCAGCTCTTCCACAGCTTCATCAGACCACACTTTGGAGCTCCTCACTGCAGGTTTCGAGAGCTTTAGTCTCTGTCTGTAAGCAGGAACCAGATGTATCATGGAGTGATCTGAGAAGCCGAGGGCTGGCTTGGGAACAGCGCGAAAAGCTCCGCGCACGGTGGTGTAGCAGTGATCCAGAGTGTTCTCCTCTCTGGTCGGGCATTTGATAAACTGTCTGTATTTGGGAAATTCCTGGCTCAAGTTTCCCTTATTAAAATCCCCCAGGATAATAATCAGAGAGTCCGGGTATAAGCGTTCCATACACAGTACTTGCTCTGCGAGTGCGCGCTGAGCCTCGCGCGCGTCCGCGCATGGCGGTATGTAAACAGAGGCAAGAATGAATGAAACAATTTCGCGCGGGGAGTAATATGGTTTACAATGAATGAAAAGATATTCCAGAGCAGGAGAGCAGTGCTTGGAGATCACTGTCACATCGTTACACCAGTTTGTATTGACGTAGAAACACAGCCCTCCGCCTCTGCTCTTCCCTGAGAGCGCACAATGGCGATCCGCGCGGAACAGCCCAAAGCCCTGCAGCTCCAGAGCGCAGTCCGGGATCCGCTCATTTAGCCAGGTCTCAGTGAAGCAGAGGACACAGGATGTGGCGAAGTCCTTGTTTCTTCTCATGAGCAGGCTGAGTTCGTCCATCTTATTGCCCAGTGAGCGTACGTTGGAGAGAAAGATGCCGGGGAGAGCTGTGCGCGCTCCTCTCCTCCTCAGACGCACGAGCAGGCCTCCGCGCCTTCCCCTTTTACGGGCCCACACTTTTTTGGCTAGAACATGAACTAAATCAGCCGCAGATGCCAAGAAAACAGGCAATAGGTCAATGGGAACGGTGGGTCGGATGTTCATAAGTTCCTCACGGGTGTAGGAACAGCCAGATGCGCAGTTAAAAAGTAAAAACAAAAGAAAAAGAGAGCAGCAAAGAGCCATGTCGACCGTACGAGGCGCCATCTTAATATGTTTAAATCAAGGTTAAAGGAAAACTAAACACCCAATCAACCTTGTTTGAACTCATAAACGGCTTAAATATGTTTCTTATAGTGCTCTCTACATGTTCTGGTCGGTGCATTTTAGTGCAAATTAGATCAAATCTCACTTTTGAGCCTAAAACCGTCTGTGTGGCGCCCTCTCTACATATTCCGTGACACTACATTTGAATTTGGTGCCTGGCCTCTCCATTGGCTCTGGAGTGCAGTAAGACATCCCTTTGTGCTTATTATATTAGTAACTTGTGTTATTTTCATGGTTTTATTGGCCTGTGTGATTTGAATTGTGTTTTTAGTAATTCTGATGTTTGTTTTATGTGATGTCTTGTGTTTTGTGGACTGTGATGCACTGTGTTACCCTGTGTAGGAAAGGCACTCTACAAAATAAAGATTGACGGATTAATTGAAGATTGTTAAGCTTCCTATCTATTCTTGAATATTTCCTTCCATACCCTCGGTCTCAGGGTTCCTCGTCTTCTCACGGTTTGCCCTGGACAGCTTCCATCTCCTGTCATCGTAGAGCAGGCAGAAGCGGCAAGCGGCTCGGCACACATCCCACTCCTCCTGTTTCCTCGCAGCCTTCACGAGAGCTGCCCAAAGCCTCAGTCTGTGCCAATCACAGAAACAGAAACAAACATTGTGAAAAGGTGGACACAGGTCAGTGTGGAGGCAAGGGCAGAGCATGGCTGACACGGGCTTGGTTTACAAGGCATACATAATATGGTTTTCCTCAACAGACACTGCTGGTTTTCAGGACTAGAGGCTCACACATTGCTTTGGTCCAAGTTTAGTCCAATCCAATTCGAAAAAATCCAACTAATTACAACTGGGATCAGATCTCTCTCATTCTACAAAGATATGTAATCTGACTGAAGCTTGACTATGCTTCGAATACAAGTTTAATCAAAGAATAAGAAACAGGATATATATAGACAGAGCAAGAGGAACAACGTAACAAGGCTTAGTTTAAAGGCAGGTTGCCAACTGTGATTCAGCAAAGCCCTGAGGCTGAAAGTAATTATTCAGACAAAATAGCGCTGGTGGGGACACAGAGGACAACTACGACTATAATTCCTATTATGTTATCCATCTTCACCTTTCTACCGGGTCAGAGTCCTCTTGGTGAAGTAGGTGCTTCTGGGTCATTTGGACAGAGTGTGAGTGATGCTGAGCTTTAACACAGAGATTCGCCACCGGTCCAGAACCGTCATGGGAAGCTGGAAGAGTAGGATTGTATCAAACAAAACAAAAAAGTAATTATTAGAAGCATGGAATTTAGATCTCATTTAACAGAAAGGCCACGTCTGAACCCATCCAGAACCTTCCTGTAAAGCACGAGATCTATCCACTGCCCCACCGTACTGCCCCATAACAGACTAACCTTGGTTTATATCCCAGGTGGAGGAGATTAACCCTCTATGCACTACTGTTTAAAACGGCTGTGTCGAAAAGGGTGTCAACATTTATTTGCACGTCTGGGCAGTAATGACTTGCACTTTTTTACTATTTCCCTGTGAGTTCTGTGTGCGTTTCATGTTCTAGTGATTTGTATGTCTGTCTTTCTTTGTTTCTTTTTTATAAGATGAGATAGACTTTATTGATCTCACACAGGATTTACATGTCACATTTGCCATGGATAGAATCACTCAGATTTGTGCAAAAGACAGAAGTGTGCAAATATGATAAAGGTGCAGGATATATTATGTACAATAAATGGCAATAGTAGTACAGGCTTTTAGTCCTAGAGCAAGTGACTTAAAGTGACTTATTGTACAAAAATCCATCTTTGCCACTGCCATATGACATGATATGCAAATTAGATGGGTAAATTTAATCCCTACATAAACTTTGGACCATCCTTAATATTTCTATAATTTTCAGAAAGCCTCTATCTTAAGATTAGTTGTTTCATTGTGCATGAGTTTTACAGTCATAGAACATGCTAAATGACTGAGATCCAATTTCAGACAGAATCTGACCTGGAGAGACAACTTTGATTTTTTATATAATTCATTTTTTCTATAATTAATGATGCTTCATTACGTGTTGACTTTGAAGCTAAGTGTTTTTCCTCTGTGGAATACTGGAGGTGTATAGAGAAAAACAAAACCTCCAGGGGCCTCCAGGCATTAACCCAAGCCCAGGGCAGCAGCTCTGTGCCTGGCTGGTCGCGGCAGGTTCGTCCTTAGGTCATTAGGGCTGCTGAATGCTGATGCGGATCCGTGGACCGAGGAGCTGGAATGAGTTTAAGATCAAAGACTGTCGGCCCTTCTGCTCCACATTCGAGTACACGCAGCCAGCCTCGGCACAGCGGGTATGGCCATTTCCCCAGAGAAATCACTCACTGTATTTCATCACAAATGTTACCGCTGCCACTAAAAATGTCCCCGCTACAGATGTGGGTGCTGAAAATCTGCATGGCACAGCAGACTCATTTTGCGCCCTGACATTCAATTTAACTTTAATCTGTGCTTGATTTACTGAGACGGCAACTCATTACACAATTAAGGCAAAGTACAGCTTCCAGGTGTGCTCTAGGAAGCAGGCTCCGGTCGGCTCTATTGTCTCATTAAGAAAATAAAACGTTCCTTTAAAACTAAGACAAAGCATAGAAATAACAGGAGCCCAATATAGCAGCAGGAGTATGAGATGGTGTCAGTACACAGCACTTGTAAACATTATGAGCTACTGTATATTAATTACTGATATTTGGCAGAAAATGGCTTAAAGCGGTAGCTGTTTTTCTTTAACAAACAGCAGAAAGAGTCTGGTCACAGTCCAGTGTTCTGGGCCGGGACAGTGACATCACACGTTTCCTTTTCTCTAATTCATGGCGAAATGATGGGACATTTTAATCCGGCCTGCACCTGTGAACTGGTCTCCCCTGGCCCGGACTCATGGTCTGCACCCGCCTCCCCCATGCACCGCACAGCCTCAGGAGTCCAGGACCTGAACCTGAACCTGTCTGTACGTCGGAGCGAATCCCTCTCTCAATGCAGTTTCTCACTTTTATTTTATTTTTCTTTAATAATAATAATAATAATGCATTGGTTTTATATAGCGCTTTTTTGGACCCTCTCCAAACACGGTGGTGATAAACTACTGTAGCCACAGCTGCCCTGGGGCACACTGACAGAAGCGAGGCAACCAGTCTGTACCATCGGCCCCTCCCACCACCACCAACCATTCACACACACACCAGACACACTAGGCAATGGGGGTTAAGTGTCTTGCCTAAGGACACAACGGCAGTTTGGCACTTTACACAACGACAGCACACAGTGGGAGTTGATGGTGAAAGTCGGGCTCGAACCCACGACCCTCTGGCTCAAAGGCCAATGCTCTACCAACTGAGCTACTGTCACCCCTACCGATACAGGCGGTATTTCAGGACAGTTATAATCCGGGACATTTAATGACATTTATGAACATTTACATTACATTACATGGACCAATGTTATTATTGTATTTCCAGTGTTGTACCTTTGCATGGGTCGTCTGCATCCAAAACCCCCTGGAAATCATGAGGGGCCAAAAGAAGACCGACAGCCACCAACAGAGGACGGCTGTCTGTGTTTTCATTTGGCATATCCTTAACCTGAAAAACAGAATAGAATGGATGCATATTTTTGTTTTTTAAGATCTCCATTATGTGTCAGTGCTCCGGTCGGAAGTCAAAAACAAAGTAAAATTCTGGCAGTTTTTAAGTGGCCAAGTTCTATCGCAATGAAATTCAACCAATTCCTTAAACAAAACAATCAAAATATAAATGAAATCCCAATGTTCCCACACATATCTATTCATATTTCAACCTATAAGCCTTTGTCCAATTTATTCCTATTTATTCTGTGTCTTGTTCATTGTTTTCAGTCTGATTTTGCATATGATTGACCAAAAACATTTTATAACAATAGTTTTGGATCAGCCCATAATGCATAAGCGCTGGTTGACCGGCTCAGCTCCAGATCAAACAGACAAGGCACCGGCGTGTCCTGTGTTTTCAAATAAATATCAAATGCTTGTAGATGACTTCTAGTGGAAAGGAAGTGACTTGGTTTGCTTTTTTAAATCACAAAGATCAAAACAAAACAGCGAGAAGAGATGCACATTCTAATATTGCTCCACTGGAAATCAATTCATTTGTTTCAAACGGGAAATCAAAACAAAGGCTTCATTGTTTTTGTTCTGACCCATTTGCAGCTGAGTGGCTTCTATTTCAGAAGCACTCAATTTGTAAATGAAAATTACATTCAAAGCGTTCAAAGATTTGTTTAGAAGACTTTATTTGACTTCAATTTGAATTCATGTTGTCATTACGTAATTGTCTGCAATACACTTGTGTTGATCTGGATTTATTATGTGTTTGAAACTGTTCCTGTTATACGAGCCAAAGCCAGACAAGGCAACTATCTGACACACTTAGGAAATATGGAAATCTAATCATGTTACGACATCAGAGTGACCTGGAGTTTGTTTTTAGATACATCCAAACTATGATCAAGAGTGGAAACACCTTTGACTCTGCCCGTTCTGTCTAAAAGCCTCTGTCTCAGTCCTGTAATACAATGATGTCATTGTAGCACTAAGACATCACACTATGGGAAGTTTGCAAAAGTATCGTATATAAAACAGTCTTGACAAACATGAAATGACAAAGTAAACAGTCTCATCCATCCATCCATTTTCTTCCCCTTCGTCCATTTTTGGGACGGGGGCTATAATCAGCTGTCACTCATTTAACGGAGCACCAGCCCCTCACTGATCCTCCTGCAGCTGCTGAGTCCACAGGAGGCTGCTCTGTCAGTGAGAGCATAGCTTCGATCTTTCAGCTGGGGCTTCAGGCAAAGTGAGGTTAGTGTCTTGCCCAGGAATACAACAGCAGACAGATCAACGGGAGTCGGAGGGGAAGGTCTCGGGGTAAGATCAAACCTACAACCTTCAGGCTCAAAGGCCACTGCTCTACCAACTGAGCTAGCCTGGTCATACCACAGCATAGTACAAATGACATATTGTACTAAGGTCTGGAGGTGCTCCATTGAGCTCCTTTAACAGATAGGAGGGGTTAACTCCTTTTGCAGATTGAAACGATTGGATCTAAGTTTACTATGACGTATGTAATGAGCCCGAGTGAGTCGTTAGCATTTAGCCTAGCTTTAGCCATCTCCTTTGCCGCTAACGAAGCCCGTGGGGAGAAGCGCCTCAATTATTTCCAGCGATTACATTTGCTAAACAGAACCAGACAGGAATACTTTACTATCGCATTCTTCGCCATTGCCAAACTACAACCTTCCCGTTCGACGCAAACTCTTGACGTCACCCACATCCACATACAACACTTGCCTTCCGCGCTCGCTGGTTGGTCGGTCGAAATTCAACCGATTGTAATCGCCAACCCAGGGACCAGACCCAGACGTTACATGCAGTGAAATTATGATTTGAGCGGAGTGTACGGATGAATAAGGCCAGGCTAAACTGAGCCACTATCGCCCCTTTATAGTAATACTAATTTTGAACGTAAAATAATGCATATTTTTAGGCTAGAGGAGACTGAACAGTGGGGCGGCAGCGTTTCAGATTTATGCTAAAATTTGGAACAGATCTCCCTGAAAACATGCCTTTGACAATGAAAACGTTTAAATCCAGGCTGAAATAACAGTTGGAAGATTGTCCATCCATGTTCAACCTTTTGATCCACTTCACAAAGCACCAGCCTCTCACTGATATTCACTATTTGTATGTATTGTGATTACCTATTATTTTAATGAGTTTAATGTTTCTCATCTTGTTTTGTTCAGCACTTTGAGTTGCCTTGTGTATGAACTGTGCCAAACAATTTCTTCTTTAAAGTATTTTGAGGCCCTGTTCCTAAACATCAAACCTGCTTTAGGTTATAATATACAACGTTTGTCCACTATTCGACATCTGCAGCTATACTACTTTTTCAGTGGGATTTAACGCAGCATTGAGTGTGACAGAAAAGGCTGAACCTGCTGCATAAGCGTGGCAGCCTGATCCTCGAGGCGGGAGGCAGCGCGGCACGGGGCTCTGAGCTGGAGCAGGCGAGTGGAGGATGACAGTCGTTGTCGGTGCGTCCCGTTTAGATCCAGCTGCAGAGCTTTGTGGAGGTGAGTCAGAGCGGCCTCCAGGCGGCCCTCCTCCTCTTCAATCAGCGCCAGCTCTGAGTGGACCTGACAGCGCGTCTCCAGGAGCAGGCTGTGGAATGCACAACGCACAACCCATCATGTAATGTACTCAGGAAATAAAAAGGACAAGAATAAACCACTCAAACCTATCTCCTTCATTTGGTTTTAGAACGTCAATGTCATGTGGTGAGACGGAGGAGGGCTCAAATGCAGCAATGCAAAAAATAATGATTTCATAAAATAAAGTCCAAGGTGAAAACAAACTCAAAATCCAAACAAGAACTCAGGAACCAAGAAAACAGACGGACAAAGACGCACACAGAACAACGAACCAGCAACAAGGAGAGAGGAGCACAGGTACATATAGATACAGGTACATATAGATACAGAGACACAGGTACATATAGATACAGAGACACAGGTACATATAGACACAGACACACAGGTACATATAGACACAGAGACACAGGTACATATAGACACAGAGACACAGGTACATATAGACACAGAGACACAGGTACATATAGACACAGAGACACAGGTACATATAGACACAGAGACACAGGTACATATAGACACAGAGACACAGGTACATATAGACACAGAGACACAGGTACATATAGACACAGAGACACAGGTACATATAGACACAGAGACACAGGTACATATAGACACAGAGACACAGGTACATATAGACACAGAGACACAGGTACATATAGACACAGAGACACAGGTACATATAGACACAGAGACACAGGTACTTATGTAGCTCGCGAAAATTCAATTTGGTAGACGTCAGCCAAAAGCTACCCCCTCCAGGCCGGTTCGCTTCCCCAGCCTATCGCTCGGCAAACGCCCCCTTCCAATCATCCGTGCCGGACAGGCAGCCGCTTAAAAGCGGAGCAACTCCCACTCTCTGCCTTCTCGAAGCCTCGCAAGCTCCTGAAGCCTTGCAGAGAATCGTCTGGAGGAATCGTTTTCGTCTACTCACGCTACTCGGCGCGTCCCTGGCGTCCTCCGTCTGGCTGCTTGTGGTCTGCTCCTCCTCCGCGTCCCTGCACTGGTCTGCTCCTCCTCCGCGTCCCTGCACTGGTCTGCTCCTCCTCCGCGTCCCTGCACTGGTCTGCTCCTCTTCCACGTCCCTGCACCTGCTGTGGTTCGCATATCTCCACTGCTCTCCTCCTCTGCGGGCTCTTTCTGCGGGCTGCTCCGCGGGGCCCTCCGCGGGTTTCTGTGCGGCTCGTTCCTTGTGGTCTGCTGCCGCACGCAGAAGGTCTGGCGGTGCCGCGTTGTCCCGTTGCTTTCCCAAGTCTCCTGGCATGTGAGTACAGTGAGTGTGCTGACCGCGGACAGATTAATCCCGGAGTTCTGGGCTGCAGGCGATTGGTTTTTGCCCTACGCACTTGACTGCAGGCGCCAGTTTTTTTTCGCCCCGAGCTTGGTCTGCAGGCTCCGTTTCACATGTGTCTGAGCTAACCGAGGGGCAATGCATATTAAATGGCATCAATCTCTATCGTCTGAGGGATATACGAGGAGCTATGTGCATTAATTCAGATCATGTTCTGCCACTTGCAGTAAAACCATGCATTAAATAGCTAGGTCGCTGGTATTAAATTAGGTAACTAACTGCAGTGTTGCATTTTGAAAGTGCAGCAGGAAGAAAAAGGGCCAAACGTGAATCTGCAATGGGCGTGAAGTAGTGTTGGAGCTATGAACGCATGGATCAGTGATCGTTCATGCGCATCTGCCATAACCAAAGCAGAAGATGGCTCCAGGGGACGTCTGTTATTCGCATGGGAATGTTTCGGATTCGGGTTGATTTATTCCCTCAGGCTCTTAAACAACCGTGGGTTGGTTCTCTGACCGCCGCTGCTGCCGGTCCCCGCTGCCGTTCCTACTGATGCCTGATCCCGCCGCTGCTGTTCCTGCTGCCGCTCCTGCTGCTGCCTGTTCCTGCTGCCGCTCCTGCTGCTGTCTGTCCCTGCTGCTGCTCCTGCTGCTCCTACTACTACATGTGCCGCTGCCGTTCCGCAGGCTCCCAGGCTGCACCCGTCTCTGTGGCTCGGCTCTTTCAGACACGTACGTAACCTGGCTCACGGAGACAAGCGGCGCACGCCGGCGTGACACGTCTGTCTGTTCGTATGAATCGCTTCGTGGTGCTGCTGCTCCTGCTAATGCTGCTTCTGCTGCTTCATACTGTTACCGCTACTGCTGCTACTGCTGCCGCTGCTGCTTCATACTGCTACTACTGCCGTGCTGCTGCTGCTTCATGTACTTCGTCATCTCTCTTCACTTCGCTTCTCTTACTGAAACACTAAACAGCTACAACATATTCTACTGCCGTGGCTTTGATTCAGGGTTTTGCCGTTATTATCTACGGATGCAGCAGCTGCTGCTGCCGCGGCTGATACAGGTCGTTGCCGTTATTATCTGAGGTTACTGCCGCTGCTGCTACTGCTACTGCTACTGCTGCAACCCACTCTCTCAGAAGCTTATCCTGCTTCTAATGGATGCAGCCCGGCCGAGTATGCCGCGCGGCACTGGACTCGCACCTATGCTCCCAGGGTCACTTCGGCGGTCGTGCTTCATCGCTCTACTTAATCTTCTGATTCTATCAGATGCAGCTGGCCGAGTAGCTGCGCTGAGCCGTCAATTGGACTCCTAATCAAAGGCATCCATACCGTGTTCTTCACTCTTCTGATCGCAGGCTCCCCATCATGCTGCCCATCCTGCAGCGGCACTGAACTCCGGCTCATCTTCCAAGTACATGTCTGCCCTCCTCGCAGCATCTTCCTGCTCGCCTTCCATGGCTTCTCTGCATAAGCGTTCACTACTGCACACTCAACCTTAGTGCGGTCCGAGACACGGCTTTTCCCGACCATCCTACTATCCTGATTATCTACTCTCCAACCCAAGATTCTAAGCGTAAGGGCGCCTGCAACTTCATGGCCCTCTCCGATATGTCTCTGCCCCTCCAGGTCTCGGCTTCTACACGGACGTGCCCCTTCCGTGGGTTTTGGGGGGTTTATTTCCAGGACCATCGCGGCCTCGCTGGGGCTCCCCCACACCTCTCTGCAACAGCTGGGGCGCCGGTCCTCTGCGGCTTTCTCCGCCTACATCAGGCCAGACGCGTCCGCTATCCTGCCTGCACAACGTCAACTGGCTTCCTCGTAAGCTCCCAGCAAAGCAATACGAAGCAAAGTAAGTGAACCAATAAGATTCTGGTGGCGGCACGCACTTCTCTCAAACACTCTCCGCTGCCGCAGCGTCTGACGGAACGTGATGCGAGCGCTCACGTTCCCAGCGCGCAAAGACAACCCTGCCGCAGCGTCTGGTTGATTGTGATGCGAGCGCTCACGTCCCAGCGCTCAAAGATAACCCTGCCGCAGCGTCCGGTTGATCGTGATGCGAGCGCTCACGTCCCGGCACTCAAAGATAACCGCATATAACGGTCACAGCACATAGTGATAGCGGTCATAGCGTTAGTGATAGCGGTCATAGCGTCAGTGATAGCGGTCATAGCGTCAGTGATAGCGGTCATAGCGTCAGTGATAGCGGTCATAGCGTCAGTGATAGCGGTCATAGCGTCAGTGGTAGCGGTCATAGCGTTAGTGTTAGCGGTCACAGCATAGCAAAAAATGGTTAGCGCATAAACGGTTCACAGCATAGAGATAGCGGTCACAGCATAGCGATAGCGGTCACAGCATAGCGATAGCGGTCACAGCATAGCGATAGCGGTCACAGCATAGCGATAGCGGTCACAGCATAGCGATAGCGGTCACAGCATAGCGATAGCGGTCACAGCATAGCGATAGCGGTCACAGCATAGAGTAGCCACGACGTCTGTTCCCTGCAAACCAGGCTGCAAAACTCCATCAACACACTCAGCCTTTTTGGGGATTGTACGCGCTCCATCGCAGGAGCCTCTCCGATCTGAAGGCCGCACCGGGGCCTAGGGCGCCAAACCACCTCAATAAATACTCAAAACCATTTTCGTTTCTCGTCTCTCCAAATTGAAATGTAGCTCGCGAAAATTCAATTTGGTAGACGTCAGCCAAAAGCTACCCCCTCCAGGCCGGTTCGCTTCCCCAGCCTATCGCTCGGCAAACGCCCCCTTCCAATCATCCGTGCCGGACAGGCAGCCGCTTAAAAGCGGAGCAACTCCCACTCTCTGCCTTCTCGAAGCCTCGCAACCACCGCCTCCCCTCCTCCTCCTCTTCACCCTGCCTCCAACCTGCCTCCAATCTGCCTCCAATCTGCCTCCAATCTGCCTCCAATCTGCCTCCAATCTGCCTCCAATCTGCCAAAATGCCGCCACCAGTGCCTAGGTCCCGGGGGATTGTACGCGCTCCATCGCAGGAGCCTCTCCGATCTGAAGGCCGCACCGGGGCCTAGGGCGCCAAACCACCTCAATAAATACTCAAAACCATTTTCGTTTCTCGTCTCTCCAAATTGAAATAGACACAGAGACACAGGTACATATAGACACAGAGACAAAGGTACATATAGACACAGGTGCATATAGACACAGGTGCATATAGACACAGGTGCATATAGACACAGGTGCATATAGACACAGGTGCATATAGACACAGGTGCATATAGACACAGGGACACAGGTACATACAGACACATAGACACAGGGACACAGGTACAGTACATACAGACACAGAGACACAGGTAAAAGAAACATGCATGTAACCAGTGATAGAATCAAACATGTTTTGAGGAGAGCAAGGAACTAGTTACATAATATAGATTACTTTGTTCCATTTTTGTGGTTGAAAGTTATGAATACAACCCCTGCATTAAAAGAGGACACCTGCCATGTGGATTTGGTAACTGTCAAATGTGATTTCACTGAAACACCTCAGCATTCTGTATTTCTCACTAAAACTGTACTGGTCAAATAGAATATGTAACAGTAGAAAGGAAAACTCTCCATGAACATGTGGCCTCCATGACAGATATTTCAGCCATGAATAAAACACAAACCTGCATGACATAAAAGCCTTTGATCTGCTGCATAAAGATGAGATTTATTCTTATAACAATAACACATATTATCATCAGTATTCACTGATGTTGTATTTGTATTGATGGAAAACTTACAAATAATAACAGCCTTTGCTGCTGAAATCATCCTGGCAGAATTATTATTACCTTCATTCGAAACAACCAGAAGAGATTCTATTATTGCTCCACTGAAAATCAATTTGTTTGTGTCCAGTGCAATTTTCAAACACTGTTAAATCGTTAAACAAAAGCTGCATTACAGCCGACTGAAGAACTCTCAATTTGTTAACGAAAATTACATGTCAAATCCACATTCAAGTGGAATGAAGACGGTGATTCGTTTAGAAAGTCATTACATTTGACGTCATTCGTATTTTTTTATTGGTTGTTCATTATTACTATATTGTTATTGTGTCATTATTACATAATTAGATAAAACAGTACAAAACATTTATAGGGCAGCACAGTGGCTGAGTGGTTAGCACTGGCTTCGATTCCACCTCCAGACAGGGCTTTGCATGTTCTCCCCATGTTTCCTCTCCTGCTAAAAAAACATACAATATATTCTGAGACCTCAGAGGGCAATCTCTAAAACTGACAAAAAAAAACTAAACAAATTAATTTGGCTTTATTGATAAAGGTCAATAAATAATCATACATTTATAGAAATCCAGTGTTTTGAACCTGACAGTGTGTGTGCACATGCGACATCACATCGCTGTCATAACATAAGCCCTGGGTCCTGCTCTTCATGTCCACAGATGTAGGCTACAGACCTCTGGATGTCTTCCAGGGCTTGTGCCAGCCTGAGCAGAGCCCCTCTGATGCTCCTGCGGAGGTTGTGCTGCAGCAGCGGCAGGCAGAGTCTCCACACAGAAGCACACACTGCCTGCACGGCCTGAGGGTCGCCCGCTCGCTCTGCGTTTAGCAGCCACTGATCCAGCCAGCCTATTTCCCTCAGCCGTGCCTGTGGGATAACAAGCCGCAATTGAGCATATCTGGTGTAATGCTGAGGAGGCAGCACTTCAATCGCTTGGCATGTATGCTGGAATTGAATTATGTCTGATATGCTGTGCCAATGCATAAATGGGACAAGTACAATTTAAAACCAAATGTGATCATGTGCCGAGTGAGTTTTGTAAGTCCTCAAAACTTCTGCTGAATAGTAATGAGATAATTAAACTCCCCACTTAATGACAAAGAGCTTGGAGATATATTAACTTAAAAAGATAATGTTATCGAACAGTTAATCAAGCCTGTGCCAATGAGACCACAGCCGTGTTGTTGCATGCAGAGGCGGGGGAGGCAGACTTCATTTCCGTGTGTGAGTAAGCACCTCCACGCTGCCTTTGGAGTACTCGTTCATCTTTGCCTCTTTCTTCAGAAGCCTGATTTCAACACTGATACATTCCATTATGATCCTCTGGCTGGCGCTCTGCTAAGACAAAGACACATGTGATTACAGCAGCCAACACTCCGGGTCTTGAGAGAGGAGAGAAACAGATCAATACATTATCTGAAAAGACAGTGCTGTAAGTTTGGTTTCCAGTGTGTTTGTGTTGTATAACAGTTGTCTTTAATGATGCCCACTGGACCTCGGAGAAAAGTCCAGCAAACAACATGAGTATTGATGGAAATGTATACATGACTGACCAAAGGGGCCAAAGCTATTTGCATTTGCAGTGAGAAATAGAACATGTACGTGGTGCTCATGTATCATTGATTAAAAGGGGAAAGTGGAAGTGAATCATTTTATGACAAAGCATGGCCGCAAAGAATGTCATACATGAAACTAGATGAATGCTCATTAGCAGTGCTCGTCAAACGACTTGCTAGCCAACTATAAATAGACTTTCTTATGACAGAGAACACAGGAAGTACTGTAGAGGCTTTGGTGAAATGACTTAGCTCTAGTGACCTTGGGTGATTTCTAAAGTGGCTACTTAACTAGGATGTCATGTTGCAGGCATAAATTTACATGTTTTAATGAGGATTCCTACGAGATAGAACCTTCCTGTTTGCAGAGCTTTAAGAAAAAAATCGGACACTCACAGCCTCTTTCGCCGTCTTTAGCTCTTTCAAACAGTCGGCAGCTACTTTCTGATGCTTGGTTTGCAAGGCCAGCATAGCCAACTCCAGGAGGAAGGCAACTCTGCAAATCCCAGATAAAACATAATTTATACAATTCACACAAGCCTTCAGTGCGGTAATCTAAGCCATGTACTGCCCCTGGAAATTCATATGTGACTTTATACGGCGACGGGAGGTTTAAAAGAGGACGTACAGCTACAAACATAATCTAATCACACATGAGACTGGATTGGGTCAGTCCAGGTCACACACCTCGCTGCTGGCGGTAGAGGTTGTTGATCGGATTCCGTGGGAAAGGAAGGTTTTTTGGCAGAAACGAGCCAATCAAATATGTCTTGAAGCTTGCCAGCATCTTCTTCTCTTAGCTCATCTCCATTGACAGAACTCAATCTATAACAATAACAGCAAGACTTGTCATGAAAGCAATTTACTTTTTCAATTCACTAGTAATATAATCCCACCGCACTGGGGATAAAGTCTGGCCATAATAATGGCCAGACTTTCACTGTTGTTTTGATTATGAAAAGTCATCAGATCTGCCGTATACTTTCATGGCTGATCACTTTTACTTGAGTTTTACTCAACTCAACTCTACTGTCTGTTTAGTTGATTGCCTAAATAACCATCTGTGTCTCCCTGTGTGTTTTAAACCCTGAGCTCCACTTATAGTTGGTCCCTTGTGCTTTCTTCCCAATTTCTTTGCGGTTTGATTTATGCTACACCCTGGATTTTGTTATTTTTGTTTATCAAATGTTGTATTTTCGCAGCCCTGCATTGAGGTTCTCCCCTTGTTCTGCATTCATGACACATGCAGCGTACAGGCAACACAGGCAGGAGAGGACAGAGGACTGCTGGGTAATGCTGCGGTCTGGGGAAGCACATGCCATAAGATTAGCAGGAAGCCTGGAGAAATTGGCCCAGTGACGTGTTTAACGCGTGCTGCTGAGCCTTCCACAATATCTCTCAAAAATGCTACAGGCGCAAAAGCAATCTGCATGCCATGTAGACATAATGACATTGGAATATGCGAGTGTGGTTAGCAAAAGAATGGGTTGTTTTTGGTGCTGGTGATTTATGTGCATAAACTATGGATAAGTGGTTGGTGCGTAGAGACTCATTTTGACACGATTTTATGTAGCAGAAATCAATCAAACGGAATATTTTGCATCACTTTGAAATGGAAGATCCAATCAAGGGTTATTTAGAAAAGTTCAGTCGAGCTTGTTTTGCTCCAGTTGTGTTGGGTTTCAAACTAGCTGTCGTGACGGTGAAGCCTTTTGTAAACTAACAGTGGAATTATTTTTCTACAATTACAGCGCTCAGCTGACAGATTCAAATGAACAGGTGCCGAAAGCCATCTCACGTCTTAAATTCGTCGAGCTTGTAAATTGCCGTTAAAGTAGGAGTTTGTTGGCTCGTCTCAAACAAGACATCACGATCTGACAGCTTGTGTTGCATCTGAAACAAAACAACAAAGTTAGACAATTTTCTCAAGCCTGGACCCTTCCAATTAAAATCAAAGAAGTGCAGAGAAAAGCCTTTTGGGAAATGGTAACGTGCAATTTAATTAGAACTGATCTCCAAATGTCCTGGCAATAGTTAAAAGTGGGCATTTACACTTGCATTCAGCAGCAAATTTGGATCTTTTGTTTCTACTCATGTTCAACACACTCTGAATTGAGTCACGTTGAGATACTGGAGAAGCTCTGAATTCACACAAGGTAGAATTTAAGCACTGCCCTGGATTTGTTGCTGTATTTGTTATTATTACTGCTATTGCTGTATTGTATTACTCATTACTATTGTATTACTCATTATCATTATCACTAATATTATTATTGTAACCTTTTTCCTTCCTACTGTACATAAGAAAAGATATCCGTCTACCTACAAATGTCTTGAGCCACACGCACACGCCCACACTCACACACATACACGTACGTACAATGATTGTTTTTCCTCTCTCTTGTTGATGTCTTTGTCCTCTCTATATCCTCTCCTTGTATAGGTCCGCCACTTACATTGCCATAATCACTGAAACTGATCACCTACTGTATGTGAATATTCGCACTGTTGTCTGTGCTTGCTGCTTGTTTGTCTTATTGTATTTGTTTGTAAGTCCCTATCTGCATTGTATGTCTGCACCTGTATTGAATGTCTATATTTTCCACAATAAAAAGTAAAAAAAAGCACTGCCCATCATCCAGCTTTCATATCGAGCAGAAAGCTTTCATTCGTGCAGCAACCCTCCTCCTCCCCATCACCGCCTCGTCAGCCGGACCAGCTCCAGGACCCTTCTTGTAGGTACCATCACCAAGACCTAAACCCCGGGGGACGTCATCTCATAATCCCTATTTTCATTTCCCCTTCTGCACTCGTCTTGCAGTGCTCTGCCGGGGGAAACTAAGCGCCAAATCATAACCATATTTCACGTACAGCACGCAATAAATGTCATTCTTGCATAGATTGTCTACCGTCTAATGTGCAAATGTATGTAGTGAGCAATTGCTTGCCAACAAATAAATACAAACCCATTGTGTCTGTTCGAGCCTCTCCAGATTAAAATAGATTCACACACTTTTGTATAATGTAAAACCATCTCTACATATTTCATATCTTCCTCCACTAACGAGGTTGTTATCTTAGTTTAGCTGTCATGCCCTTTAGAGACTTGCGCCGCACTCTTTTTGACACATGTGCACGGCAGATTTAACCTACTTACCAACAGGCTAAACAGTTCGGGGAAAAGATGAGATGTGTGGCACTTCACAAATTCCTCTGTAACTTTGGCGAGCGATCTAGCCTCCTCTGTTTTCCCTCCGTCGACACAGCATTTGATGAGTTGCCTTAGGAATGAGTCAGATAATGAAGTTATTAGAGCTCAAAGATATGGTAAGCCCTGTATAGCAGCCCATCAGCTAACTACACATTTTTACCACCAATGTAATCCTTTATAATTAAGTCCCCATGGAGCCCAATGCTATGGCTATAATTCCTTATGATTTTAATGGTGGATTTTGCTTTTCTCATTCTGGTACCGTGGATTATATTTCATTAATGTCAAATATGCGTGTAATGTGTTTCAGCCTGTTTATGCCAGTCATTGTGAGGGATTGTTACGTGGAAGCGATATTCAACACTGAATGTGTGTCATGCCAGACGCCTTCTAATTAATAACAGAGCCATATCGCATGTTATTCTGAACATGAGTGCTGCACTGGACTATATGAGGAGCGATAACATTTAGACCCGGGGCGCCGTGGCACGACACGATAATGCTGCTTATACTATAATAGATTCTAGTGCGGAGAATGTGAACGCCAATTAACTGTGGATTTAGGACACAGAGCTTAAAGATGGAGTAGGAGTTGATTAGACAAAAAGGAGGGGAAGAAACTGTGAAAAACATATATTAAATAGCAAGTTCTCACAGCTAGAATTGCGATCATTGCGATTTATTTTGTGTTTTTGTTGATTCACATCCATGCCATGTTGGGTCAGACCGTATTCTGTACAAAGCTCTTATTCATTATTTGAGAGATTGGTGAGAGCTTCTTCCCCCATCTTCCTGCTGCAGAGTTGTCCATCAAGCGCCAACAACTTCACTTTAACAGTGAGAAATGAGCATATTGAAAGTGTAAAATAACTTCTCACAAAAGTCAGCTCCTGGATAGATCAGCTCCGACCTGAGAAATCGTTTTAATCCAAAGTCCATGTTTGGGCATATTTCAGATATTCAAGCTAACAATCTTCTTTCCCTCTTATGGTTGTGTCATGGATCTATAATAATAACTGGATAGGGAATTACTAGCTTAAAGCTGTCCCACCCGTGGGCACAGGGGGCGCCCTTGGTACTGCAGACTAAATTCACGAGGGCTACCCAGAAATTTTCCCCATAGATCTCAATGTAAATTAAAACAGACCTCAGCTGACAGAGAACCTGACAGAGAACCTACAGATTTCATAAAGATCGTATTTTGTAGGGATTTTTGTGTCCCTTGTTGTCCTTCGGTTTTCTTTAAATCCACTCTTTACTGCCATAAATTCTGCTCGTTTTCTTCCCGCTCTGACTCCGCTCTACCACTGCTCTGATTGGTCAAAACGTAGCCGAGCTCCTCTGTGCACCTGCATGAGAGCCACACACGTGCATTTGGCGCAACGCATCATGGGAGCTCATCCACTGCACAGAACCGGTAGGACCAGACAATGCCCAAATATAGGCGAGTTCCTCTGATATGTCAGCCCGTGAAGACCCATGCGCTACTGAGCACAAGCCATTCATTTTCATAGGGTGCCATCTTGGATCACCGGGGCTTGGGTTGTGTGAAGCAAATGTGTTTTCTGTTTTCAAATATGTAGATTAGGGATGCACCGATCCAATACTGGTATCGATATCGGCGCCGATACCAGAAAAAATACTGGATCGGATATCTGCGTAGAGAGAGGCGCCGTGCTACCGATCCATTTATTATTTTTTAAATTATATATAGTTTTTAATACATACCAGGTACCGCACAATGTCTTAAAATACATTGTGCATAATGTACATATACATATAAAATGAATGAATTAAAAGTAATGTATCAGAGCTCACGTACACGTCACTTCCTCGTGGCGCTCTACAACAACAACAACACAGCGTGGAGGAAAGAGCGTTGTTCTCGCGGCGGTAAACCAGTGAAATACAACACGACTAAGCACCACGAGAAACAGCACGGGGAGTTTCTGCATCGAAAGGAGATTATGTGAAAACAACGAGACACAGATGACACTGACGCAGCGTCACAAAAAGCTTTTCAGCAACAACCCCAAAGTGTTGGAGTTCATCATGGGCTCGCAGCCCCATAGACCATTTGGAACCCAGGTCCATGCCGTCGCCAAATACATATCTGAAATCCACTTAAAGCTACGGTACTATTATTTATTTACATTTTCATGCAGCGTGTTTTGTTTGTTGTGTTTTTTTATTCAAACACAGTTAATATAAGTACATTTATATTCAGTAAATGTAAAAGGTATAATACAGTGTTGAATGTTTAATGTGAACATTGAGCAGCTCTTTATAGTTGCAGTATTGCACATTTATGTTCAATCCATTTTTATCTGGAAAGTTTAGCTTTAGTTCATCCACTGCTTTTGCAGTTACTTGAACAAAGAGTTCAATTATTAAATACATTTTAGCATGATCATTTCCGGTATTGGTCAATATCGGTATCGGTATCGGTAGTAAAACAGCTGGATCGGTGCATCTCTAATGTAGATATACAAATGAACAGAGAGCACTGAAAGGACCCTGATTAGATTCCATTCCCTAGTTCTTAGGCCCCGTCCCAATTCTGAGGGCACTCGAGTTGTGAGTGCTATTTCATGTATTGTCTCTGATTTTGTCCATTTAGTTTTGTCTTGCCTTTGATTTTATCCGTTTTTTTGTCTTGATATTTATTTATTATTTTGTTTTATGTCTTCTGCAAAATAATAAAGACGTTTAAGTGTTAAAAACCAGCCATGCACAAAGTGGGACACCTCTGTTAAGTTCAGCTCTTTGGTGCCATTTACATCCAAATCAAAGCATAACACATTTAAAAAGGGTGTGTTTGTTTACATCATGAGCTTTGCCCTCCAGTCGTGGTCCGGGTCGTTCACCTCCTCCAGACTCCGTAACACCTGCCGCAGAGACGGGAGCAGGTGGAAGCTCCTCCCACTCTGCAGCAGAGGACGCAGCGTGTGGATGTACAGCACCGAGGCGTTAAAGACCAGACCATGAAACCTGAGAAGAACAACAGAAGTGTGTGTTAAAATACAAATCTGAAACTACACTTGTAATCTAATAAGTCAAGTGCAAATCCTTAAAAAGTTCTGTTGTCTTTTGCCTGTTGTTGAACCCACAGATCAACTCCATATGTCGTCTCACTCAGATAACGTTGAGCCATAAAAGGGGTTGTTGCTGAGTTTGAAGAAAGCCGTGCAACATCAGTCCGTCAGCAAAACATCAAAGGTGTTGGGGGACAATGTGTGAATTAATTTAGTTTGTGGAGAACGTGTGATTTAATTTAGTTTGACATAAGTGTGAGGATATTCTTGTGATGTGCTAATTTAGACACTATTTTAGACAGCAGTAGACAACAGCACTAGACTGATTCATAAATCCAGGAAATGTGTCTTTTACATAAGACAATATGGCGGCACGGTGGCTGAGTGGATAGCACTCTCGCCTCTCAGCAAGAAGGTCCTGGGTTCGAATCCCGGTTGGACCAGGGCCTTTCTGAGTGGAGTTTGCATGTTCTCCCCGTGTCTGCGTAGGTTTCCTCCGGGTGCTAGTAAGATTACTTACTAATTACTTACAATGATAAGGAGCCTCATTAAACTTCTGTGCTTTTGGAACGTCACATTTGCAAGCATATCACGGCTTTAAACTTGCACAGGTTTTTAGGCAGCCTTTACAGCAGTAACTTATCTACACAGTGATCCATGTGTTTCTTTAGTTTAATAGAAGGAACAAGTTAGCCGAAAGCTACAAGGTTGTGTCCCCACTGCTGTGTGATTAATCTTGTCACAAAAAATAAAACATCAACACATCAATCGAACTGTTGGAATAAGAAAATATCTTTTGGTTCTCTGCTTTACTTTTCTTTTGAAAGTGTGAAAAGTTTCTTGTTATTTTAATGTAAACAAGGAGGTTCTAGCTCAATATGACTTAGTTCTGCTTGCTTTTTAATGAAATGGGCAAATGGCTTTTCTGGGATCATCCTAATTTATTGTATTAGCATCAGTGGCAGTTTCGATGGATTTTATTTTCACAATAGTTTTACTATTTCTGAATCAATATATCGTCCATCTAAAGTAGTAAATGTGACGGGCCTATGTGTGCAGCTACAGGTCCATAGATATACAAAACATTTGCAAATAATATGAACTGTGGGTGTGTACTGGTCCATTAGGCTTAGGTCACGTTTTCAGAATCAGAATCAGAATCATTTTTATTGCCAACGTAAGTAACGGGAGGTCACAGACTTGGAAATTGCTTTGGCTCAGTGCAACAGTCAAAAAGAGATAATAAAAATAAGAATAAAAAACACTTCTAAAGAATAAATTTAAATTTAAAATAGAGTTACAGTTACTATTTACAATATACAAGTGCACATGGTGCACACAATGTAAGGTGACAGCAGTACAGTGAAGTAAAGTGACGTATGATGGGCAGTAAAGTGACTTTATAAAGGGCGGGGGGACAGGTTAAGAAGTGTTCAAGAGTCCAACAGCAGAGGGGAAGAAACTGTTCTTGTGGCGGGAGGTTCTAGTCCTGATGGACCGCAGCCTCCTGCCTGAGGGGAGTGGTTGGAATAGTCCATGTGCAGGGTGAGAGGGGTCGGCTGTGATACGACCAGCCCGGCCTCGAGCTCGGGCGACGTACAGGTCCTGCAGCGATGGAAGGCTGCGGCCGATCACTTCCTCTGCAGAGCGCACAATGCGCTGTAGTCTCTGTTTGTCCCTGACTGTGGCTCCAGCGAACCACACGGTGATGGAGGAGGTGAGGATGGACTCGATGATGGCCGTGTAGAACTGCACCAACATCTGTGCAGGCAGCTTGGCTTTCCTGAGCTGCCGCAGGAAGTACATCCTCTGCTGGGCCTTCTTGATGAGGGAGCTGATGGTCGGCTCCCACTTGAGGTCCTGGGTGATGGTGGTGCCCAGGAAACGGAAGGACTCCACAGAGGTGATGGGGGAGTCCATCACGGAGGGTGGGGGCGGGGGGACAGTGCTCTTCCTGAAGTCCACAATCATCTCCACTGTCTTCTGGGCGTTCAGCTCCAGGTTGTTACCACTGCACCAGGACACCAGCCGGTCCACCTCCCTCCTGTAGGCGGACTCATCGTTGTTGGAGATGAGTCCAATGAGGGTGGTGTCGTCCGCGAACTTGATCAGCTTCACGGAGTCGTGGCTGGAGGTGCAGTGGTTGGTGTACAGGGAGAAGAGCAGGGGAGAAAGAACACAGCCCTGTGGGGCTCCTGTATTTATAATCCGAGAGTCCGAGACATTCTTCCCCAGACGCACTCGCTGCTTCCTGTCCGTCAGGAAGTCAATGATCCACCTGCAGGTGGAATCGGGCACGTTGAGCTGGGAGAGCTTGTCCTGGAGCAGGGATGGCAGGATTGTGTTGAAGGCAGAGCTGAAGTCCACGAACAGGACCCTGGCGTAGGTCCCCGGGGAGTCCAGGTGCTGTAGGATGTGGTGGAGGGCCAGGTTAATGGCGTCGTCTACAGATCTGTTGGCTCTGTAGGCGAACTGCAGGGGGTCCAGGAGGGGGGAGGTGAGGGACTTGAGATGGGAGAGAACCAGGCGTTCAAATGACTTCATGACGACAGACGTAAGTGCTACAGGTCTGTAGTCATTGAGTCCTGTGATCCTGGGCTTCTTCGGGACGGGGACAATGATGGAGGATTTGAAGCAGGCCGGGACATGGCAGGACTGCAGAGAGGAGTTGAAAATGTCCGTGAACACAGGAGTAAGCTCACTGGCGCAGTGTCTCAGAGTGGCCGGAGACACGTGGTCCGGGCCAGGAGCTTTGCGGGGGTGCAGCCTCAGGAAGAGTTGTTTAATCTCTTTAGCGGCTATTGTTAGGCTGGGGGCAGGGCTGATGGGTGGGTCGTTAGAGTAGTGGGGGGTGGGGGAGGGAGAGGTGTCAGGGGCAGCATCAAAGCGACTGAAAAATAAGTTCAGATCGTCAGCTAGCTTGTGGTCATCAGCACAGGGGGGGGCTTTGGGTTTGTAGTTGGTGATCTCCCGTAGGCCCCTCCAGACAGAAGCAGTATCGTTGTTACCAAACTGCTCCTGTAGTCGTTCTCTGTGCCGGGACTTGGCTGCTTTCAGTTCTTTCCTGAACTGATATTTAGCTGCTTTGTAGCCGCTGCGGTCCCCCTCCCTGAAAGCAGACTCCTTTGCTTTCCTGAGCTGCCGGAGTTTAGCAGTGAACCAGGGTTTGTCGTTGTTATAGATGACCCTGGTCCTTGTTGGAATGATGCTATCCTCACAGAAGTGGATGTATGACGTCACAGTGTCCGTATATTCATCCAAGCTGTCTGTGGCAGCTCTGAAAAGGTCCCAGTCTGTAGATTGCATGCATGCGCGCAGCTCTTCCACAGCTTCATCAGACCACACTTTGGAGCTCCTCACTGCAGGTTTCGAGAGCTTTAGTCTCTGTCTGTAAGCAGGAACCAGATGTATCATGGAGTGATCTGAGAAGCCGAGGGCTGGCTTGGGAACAGCGCGAAAAGCTCCGCGCACGGTGGTGTAACAGTGATCCAGAGTGTTCTCCTCTCTGGTCGGGCATTTGATAAACTGTCTGTATTTGGGTAATTCCTGGCTCAAGTTTCCCTTATTAAAATCCCCCAGGATAATAATCAGAGAGTCCGGGTATAAACGTTCCATACACAGTACTTGCTCTGCGAGTGCGCGCTGAGCCTCGCGCGCGTCCGCGCATGGCGGTATGTAAACAGAGGCAAGAATGAATGAAACAATTTCCCGCGGGGAGTAATATGGTTTACAATGAATGAAAAGATATTCCAGAGCAGGAGAGCAGTGCTTGGAGATCACTGTCACATCGTTACACCAGTTTGTATTGACGTAGAAACACAGCCCTCCGCCTCTGCTCTTCCCTGAGAGCGCACAATGGCGATCCGCGCGAAACAACCCAAAGCCCTGCAGCTCCAGAGCGCAGTCCGGGATCCGCTCATTTAGCCAGGTCTCAGTGAAGCAGAGGACACAGGATGTGGCGAAGTCCTTGTTTCTTCTCATGAGCAGGCTGAGTTCGTCCATCTTATTGCCCAGTGAGCGTACGTTGGAGAGAAAAATGCCGGGGAGAGCCGTGCGCGCTCCTCTCCTCCTAAGACGCACGAGCAGGCCTCCTCGCTTTCCCCTTTTACGGGCCCACACTTTTTTGGCTAGAACATGAACTAAATCAGCCGCAGATGCCAAGAAAACAGGCAATAGGTCCATGGGAACGGTGGGTCGGATGTTCATAAGTTCCTCACGGGTGTAGGAACAGCCAGATGCACAGTTAAAAAGTAAAAACAAAAGAAAAAGAGAGCAGCAAAGAGCCATGTCGACCGTACGAGGCGCCATCTTGTAAGGTTTACCAACATTACTGCCTTGAAACAATATTCCTTGTTACGTTACTAACGGGAAAAGGCTCAGGCAGAAGCTAAGTTTAACAATGCCTGCTTTACTTACCCACGTTGTTTCAAACAGAGATTAGATCAAAAGAAAAATGAGGAGATACATTTATTATCTGTAATTTAACCATATCAAGATCAATACACAGTCGTATTTATCAAACAGAAGATTGTACGATATTTGTTTGAGAATGCCAAAGGAAGAGATTCAGTGGATTCTAGGAGAGCAAAGAATGTGCCAACAGTTTTGACGCAGCTTTGAGTAAATGAGAAAAAGATGAATACGTTTATAATATCTACAGTACAATATGTTCCCGTTTGGCCCATGAAAAAGTAAGTACAAAATCTGCAAACTTATTTCCAGAGCGACTGCCTGGACTTTCCGGAGCGTACACAGTAATTTTCAGCTGTCAGGTGCATATGTACAAAATGGAACAAATTGACTAGCGTTTGCAGCCTGGACTGTCAGCCGCTCTCGAAAATCATCGCCCTGTCACTAAACTGCTTCAGTACCGACACCAAACCACATGCTGATCAAGTAAACACTGCGTCCTGAATTATTTACATTATTTACATGAAAACCGCTGCACTTTCTCAGCTCCACTCCACGTGTCCATGTTGGGGCGGAAAAATAGGAATTGCAAATAAGTGCCCATTAGCTGTCATCTAACGACCACAGGAGATTTTGTTAGAATCATTGAGAAACAAGAAGCATTTATGATTTTTCCGTTTTCGCTGAGGATTCTGTGAAAACGCACTAATTTATTCACTAGAGAGGGAGAGAGAGAGGGAGAGCAGGGCGGGAGTTAGTCTCTGATGGATGCATTAGATGTGTTTTCCTTTCGGCTTTAATTGCTGTGCTCATTTTGACCTTTCTCTATTGACAAGTTGTGAGTTCATTAAAGACGGAATGGGAGCAAAGCCATTCCACACTGAGAAAAGTAACTCGCAACTTTCTATTGACTGTAGTCTGTTCTAGTTCAGGCACTAAGTCCATGCAGAAGTGAGATTCTTACTTAGAGGTTATTCATTCATTCCGTTTATACATGACATGTATGTTAAGTTCTGGGTTTGGGGACACGGCCTTGGTCTTTCAGGGGGGGCCTCAGGCAGAGTGGGGTTAAGTGCAGCTCAAGTCCTGACAAGAACCAGGAAGAACGACCACATTAGTCCAGTCCTCAGGTCTCTCAAGGCCTCGCACCAAAGTACATCTTGGACATGTTAGTGCCATATGAACCGACTCTAAGGAGCACAGGGACTAGCCTTCTGCTTGGACCCTGAGGAGCACAGGGACTGGACTCCTGCTGGGACTCTGAGGAGCACAGGGACTGGCCTCCTGCTGGGACTCTGAGGAGCACAGGGACTGGACTCCTGCTGGGACTCTGAGGAGCACAGGGACTGGCCTCCTGCTGGGACTCTGAGGAGCACAGGGACTGGCCTCCTGCTGGTCCCAGAGTCAGGACTAAACATGAGGAGGCAGTGTTTCAGGTTCATGCAGCTAAAATCTGGAACAATCTTCCTGAAGATATGAGACAGACTTCTTATTTGACAATGTTCAAATCAGGTTAAAACAGTTCTGTTTATCTGTGTACAACTGAGGGATTGTTTCTTTACTGCCTTGTAAGATTGTTTCCTTCTTATTCTGTTCAGCACTTTGAGTTGCCTTGTGTATGAACTGTGCTATACAAATAACTGTGCCTTGGCTTGCTGTGCCTTCCCCAGGGACACAACAGTAGACATCAGTGTAATTGGTCATGATGAAGGAAAATGCTTATATTTGTATGTTGTTTGCTTTAGCAGTAAGAAAAGGCCGCTTCATACTTCTTAGGACTCCTACTGTTCTTGTTTACTTACACTTGTCTTTGATGTTATGCAGCTACACGCGCACTTTTGCTGTTTTATTGTTTTCTTTGCCTCTTTTGGAACAATAAATCACACATCCTAAACCTTTTTGACTAACTAAACAAAGCCCGATATGTTTAGAAAAAGGTTACGCACCGCGGCTCAGTCTTCGCCACTTCAATCGCTTTGAGAAAACAATCCGCAGCTTTCTCAAAGTCCTCCTGAAATATAAAAATACATGTAAACGTGACACATACAAAACAAGGAACAAAGGGAAGTCCTGGGAAGAAGGAAAGCGGTGGCAGAGAGTCGGAGAAAACAGTAGAAAAAAGCTGTTTACAAAAGCGACAAAAGGTCTTTATTTTTAGTGATAAGAAAGCACAGCCTACAGTCGTCTTTTCAGCGTGTGTGTCTAAAAGATGAGAAAACAGCCCATGGAGGAGATGTGTCCAATTCTCTGTCCTCACCGCGCTCCCCGTGGCCGGCGGACACTCCAGCTGGCCTTGGCAGAGGTAGGCTCGACACAGAAACTGATTCGCTGGCGGATTCCCTTCAAAGTAAATCTTTAGACACGGTTTGCTTATCTCTGCGCGTCCGAGCTGAAACAGAGAGAGCAAAAACACTCGGGCTGCAGAATGGGGACTCGTCTGGGTTTCTTTCCACAGATTTGTTTGTCAGCACAAGTTTCACTGCTTTGTGAACACTGCTACCAGCAATTTTTATTGAAATGGGAGGAAAAAGGCGACTCATCAGAAAAAAAACATTGTACTATCATGGCTCAGGAGGTGTCTTTCTTGTAGTTTGCCAATACAGGTTTTTCCTTTGTGATAAAAGTGGGAGTAAAAGAAGATAAACAATGATAAGAATCACTGTTATAGCAAAAACAAAAAGGATCTTTTAAAAGACAGAAAAGAGTCACTTCCAAAGGGGTGGTTAATGAGACTTCTTTCACTATTTAAAAACGATGTGTCCATGTTGTGTGTCTCTAGAGTTGAGTGGAAAAGATAATATACAGTAAAACTCCTTAAATATTAAGAGATTATTAAGATTAAGAGATCCTTTATTTGTCTCAGAGTGGGGAAATTTCATGTGTTGCCATTTGCAGAAAAAAACTACATTGGAATACAAACAGGAGACACCAGCACCACAAAGCAAACACACACACACACACACACACACACACACACACACAGACAAAAAGAATTAAAAAAAAATAGCGAGACACAGTGAGGCACATGTAAAACTCATCACAAGTGACAGAACAGTAGGAATGAGGAGCACACAGCACAAGATCAATGAATAATAACTCTATTGTAAAATAAAAACAAATATCTAACTCTAGCAAAAGAAAGAAGCAAGGATAAAATCTCTATCTTTAGCATAATAAGAAAGTCTGTTGATCTAAAATCTCCAACAGAAATAACATAATGAAGAAGCAAGTAAAGGCATTATAAAGAAGTATATAAAACTGTATATTCTAGAGCCAGTATGACATAGTAGTGTGTTTACATCTGTACATGTTAGCAGCATGAGGGTCTGGGAAAATAAGTTCTAGAATATATTCAGCTGTGGTAACTGTGTAACATGTTTTTATAGCAGTTTGTGGCTAATTCCCATTTTGGCAATGGTTTTAGTTAATATTTCAAAGCCGTTAAACAAAATGATACAAGACAGTGGCGTTAGAAAGCAAGTATTAATATTTTACCGTAAAACCAGAGAGCATGTAGTCCTATTAGCGAGCCAATTATTTTATATTCACAGGGCGCCTCAGACTCAGAGGGAAAAGCATTTTACAAAACCAGTGCTTTATAATGTTAAGAAGATAAAAACAAATCAGACTGTGCAATATCTCTGTTTTATTATTCAAATAAGTTTCCATTGCCCCAGGACACATCCATGTCCTGGGGCAATGGAAACTATTTCATGTCTTCCCCACTGAGGCTGCGGCAATCGGAAGTTATTGTACAGATCCTTTTTGGTCCCATATCCGAGCTAGGATGAGGCTAGAGCCAATAAATCATCATATTGATTTATTAAGCATTATAAATCTCCACTACTTGCCGTTAATAGCAGTAATAATTTAGCGTCTTTGAAAGAGCAGACCACAGCAAATGCACTCACTGCTGCAAAGGACTTTTCTGAACTCCACATTTGATTTTGAGTCAGAAACTGTGTATGCAACATTAGTATTGTATTCAACACTATACATCGCCAGTTACATTGGTATATTTTTATCCAGGCATATTTCTGTTATTCCTTTCTTTAGTTTGAGCCTACGGTTATTTTTGTCCCAGTAGCATAATGTGTCCTCTGCATTTGTGGTCCCTCTCACATCACTGCTGTTTCCTGAGCTGGAAGATGTAACTAACGATGTATGTTTGGGGTGATGGTAGAACCGGTGCACCTGGAAACCCCCATAGACAAAACTCCAGACAGATAAGACCTGGGCCAAAACACAGTTTGAATCTGTGACATTGTTTCTGTGAGGCATAAGTGCTTCCCTGACAGCCACTGCTTCTAACCAGACTGTATAATCAGAGGTTTAACATACAACACACAAACACAAGCTAAAAGTAGGTAAGTCGGTTGATTGTGTTGGCCATTTCAACGATTTTGTCAAGTCCTCTGTTGCATAATTAAAATGTTGTATACTAATGATTTTGAAAATAGGCCCTCTGAAGAAGGTGCACGGGGAAAAGCCCCAAGGACAAAGGAATATGCACTCAGGAATCATAGAGATGACCAGCTTACAAAACCGGACAATTATTGACTCCAAGAATAAACAAATGCTCTCTCCCACTCTGGACGAGGGCAAAAGTCCAACACAATCAGGCGCCCAGTGGTGGGGGGCATTGTTTGCTCAGGTGGAGAGGGAAGACCAAGACCGGGTCCAGACCAGGGGCCAGACCAGTCCCAGACTGTGACGTCATCGGACCCTTTGATAGAAACTGCTGGGAGGAGATTGGCAGTCAGTCAGCCGAGGGCCAGGAGAGAGGGACATATATAGTTTTAGGAGCACTTTTTGTTGAATATTCTGTATCTGATTGTAAAGATAATTAAATGCAGATGTTAAACGTGAAGATCTCTTGTCTCGCTCTTGCATCGACTTTGGATACGTCAGTCAAAGGGAATTATTGACTTCACCTCTGAGATATCTACTGCTGTGATTTTAAAAAAAAAAAAATGCAATTGAATTGAAGTGAATTGAGTAAGTGTTAGTATGGATTTCCCCCCTTATCTGATGTCCATGTCCCCCCTCCATGGGGTCTGGCTTGCTCCTGGCTGAACCCCCTGGACCAATTCAGTGGAACCTGAGAGTGACCTCACAGCCAGTAGAGAGCTGGGATGGACTAGTTTGGGCTTTTTGGTCGGTGTCAACTCTCTATGCAGTATGTAGCAGTCTAATGCTAAGGCCCAAAGCCTCCAGGGTTCTCTCTCTCTCTCTCTCTCTCTCTCTCTCCAGCCATCTCTCCTTGGGGTATGATATTTGCTGTTATGTCTGTATGTATCTTATTATAAATCAGTGTTATTAAATGTCCTCTTTTATATCTATTGATTTGGGCCTAGTATGTAAAGCAACGATTACATTTTCTTGATAACAGAAAGTAAGTCTCTATCAGCAGCTGTGCTTGCTCTGAACAAAGACATTTCAGCTTGTGTTATTGTTTTGACACAGACAGATGTGTTGGGTGCGTACTGTTCTGCGTGGGAGGTGCAGAGCTTCCCATGTTTCAGTAAAATGTTAATACTTTCTTCCGGGAGGTTCCTAGAAGTGTTGTGTCTTACAGGAGGTTTCATCAGTCTAGCTCTTTGAAAGGTGACTGGAGGTGGACATAAACCTGTGTGAAAACTGTTCTGCAGACATTACCCACAGAGGCGTTTCATTATATCGCCAGTATCCATATGGCTCTAATGTGCATAACTAAAACGTGTAATTATGGAAAATGAAATAGGGACGTTCAACTGCAGTTTAATTTTCTTCCGTAATATCCTTGAGATGTGAACTGACCTTGTAAATTGTGTTTTTAATTGGTCCATAAAAATAGTATAAAACAGCAGTCAGTTTTGTTCGCAAAATAATAAACAGAATAATTGCCATAATTTGGTATAATAATTACTTGATGCTTGGGTGGGTGTCACTCACTCATTCTAATTATATTTTTGAGAAAAAGGAAAATAACAAATGTATTTTAATGATAAGAGTACCGGAAATTCTTCCTTTATTCAATTGCAATGCCTCACTTAGTCAACTCATTTAGTATTGCATGATTGTTTATTAATACAAACCATTTTTTTTAACTATTCTTTATAAAGAGAGGCATAATCTTGGTCAAATGTAGTAAACAGAACCTAAACAGAACATATGGCCCTCTGTTGTTGTTTAACTCACTACCTGACAACCTCCTTACTCTCTAAACAGTTTGTTTTGGCCTCTGTCACATCTTTAAATTACATTTTCAGACAGAATTGTGATAAAGAAAGGATCACCCTTGCGCAGCTTCCAGCCCAAAGGCAAAGCATCAAACAGTGACACACAGGGCTAGATGCAAAATATACAGGTTTTATCATTTAAAAAAGTATATCTTCTTGCGTAAAGCACTTTGAGTTCCCTTGAGTATGAACTGTGCTATACAAACAAAATTGCCATTCCTTGCCTCATCTTACAGATACAATGGCCTTCTGTTATAGTATATTTGCACACATACATTGATCAACGGTTTTAGCAGTATTCCCAGTCCCACAGTGCTGCGCAGCTGTGGTGCGCAGCTGTGTCTCACCTGGAGAGCAGCCTCCGCACACAGCACGTACAGGTCCAAGTCTTCTCTGTCTGGACTGTTCCCGGACTGTATGACGCTGTTGCACGCTCTCTGCAACGCTCCCACATCTAAACAACACACACGTAAACGCACACGCACGCGCGCACACACACACACACACACACACACACACACACAACACACACAGACATAGACACAGAATGTACACACATACACACACGGACATACCACCGGGCAGCACACACACACACCCACACGTAAGCACACGCGCGCGCACACACACACACACACACACAGACATATCACAGGCAGCACACACACGCACACACACACACCACACACGCAAACGCACACACACACACACACCACACCACACACGCACGCACACACACACACACACACACACACACACACACAACACACACAGACATAGACACAGAATGTACACACATACACACACGGACATACCACCGGCAGCACACACACACACCCACACGTAAGCACACGCGCGCGCACACACACACACACACACAGACATATCACAGGCAGCACACACACGCACACACACACACCACACACGCAAACGCACACACACACACACCACACCACACACGCACGCACACACACACACACACACACACACACACACACACAACACACACAGACATAGACACAGAATGTACACACATACACACACGGACATACCACCGGCAGCACACACACACACCCACACGTAAGCACACGCGCGCGCACACACACACACACACACAGACATATCACAGGCAGCACACACACGCACACACACACACCACACACGCAAACGCACACACACACACACCACACCACACACGCACGCACACACACACACACACACACACACACACACACACAACACACACAGACATAGACACAGAATGTACACACATACACACACGGACATACCACCGGCAGCACACACACACACCCACACGTAAGCACACGCGCGCGCACACACACACACACACACACAGACATATCACAGGCAGCACACACACACACCCACACGTAAGCACACGCGCGCGCACACACACACACACACACGCAAACGCACACACACACACACCACACCACACACGCACGCACACACACACACACACACACACACAGAGAAAAAACCTTTTAAAATCCACGTGGAGAGAGGAGACCAGGCATAATAAGCGTGACACACCTTTCTCCGCTACGGCCTTCGAAATACACACACGGATATCTGTGGGATCCAAGCAGGAAGCCACGTTGTCAAAACCCCCCGAGTCCATTGAAAAAGAATTAGCATCGACTGTACTTTTAGATAAGCTAGCAAAACATGCGGCAAACCAATGCTAATGCACGCGGACATGTGATAAATAAGTTCAAAGAAACACACAAAGAAGCGTGTTTTAGTTCGAAAAGAGGTAAATCTACTCTCCACTGCATTAAAATATCAACACACACCGATTTAAGCCTGAAAAATACAACATAAACGCGAAAACTGGCGTAAACTTTGTCTTGTTTAGGATTGGGAACGGGAGCGCGTTACCTAGCAACCGGAGACAGGTGCTACTACGGTAAGCGCAGAGGGACCAAAGCAACATGCGTTTTTGAGTCTTCTGAGCTAGTTTTAATGCTATTTTTGTTGTTATTTCACCATTTTTATGAACACGTGGTGGATTATATATGTAGAATCAAAATAACTTGCTTTATGGTGTCCCTTAAAATTTAAAAACAAGACAATACATACATGAATGTGGTTTACAAGTCATTTTAGAGAACGGTTAGAATCAGGAGAGCAATGGTTGTGACATTTAACGCTAGACTTTAGAATTTACCGTCCTCAAAATCTGTATGTGTGGAATTAAGATACTGCTAATAAAAAGGAGCAAGGGACTAGTTATATGGATTTCATCATTGTTTTAAGTTTTAGAGCAATCAATATCCCAGCTTTATTATTAATGCTGTTATTTGTTCTTTCATACCGCAACACCAATAGTTTGTTCTTGGATTTGTTGTACTTTGTTAACAAGAACACATCTTAAATGCATTTGATTCCAGGCTATATCGGATGGTTTTTAGAAAAGAAAAACTAGGACACAGACGTATTGGGAGCACACACAGTACTTTCTCGAGCCTCTAATGCACTGTGTAACTTCAAAGTGCATCTGCAGGTGTCAGAGGTTGGCCAAAGAAGAGGTTAAGACACGGGGCAGACTGCCGTATATAACTTTAATGTTGATTAAAGAGTCTACTGTGGGTCATATCCTCAAAGAAAGCTTATTAGTGAAACCCTCCAGCTGAAGTGTCTGTGCGTACTAGAATCTGAGTCTAAAGAACTGTCATTCATCAGAGGTTTCTCATAAAGGCATTTTTAGAAGGTTTATTTATAGGAATTGTGCTTTAATTAATCAATTGTACAGTATGTTCACAACAATATTTCTTTAATTCATGTCTGTGAAGCAGCAGCAAGTCCTAAGTAGCTCTGAATCTTGTTTCATGTTCTACAATTGTTATTTTTCTTTCATGGTTTTACACTGGTCCAGACCAGAGCAGAGAGGATTCATGGTTTTACACTGGTCCAGACCAGAGCAGAGAGGATTCATGGTTTTACACTGGTCCAGACCAGAGCAGAGAGGATTCATGGTTTTACACTGGTCCAGACCAGAGCAGAGAGGATTCATGGTTTTACACTGGTCCAGACCAGAGCAGAGAGGATTCATGGTTTTACACTGGTCCAGACCAGAGCAGAGGGGATTCATGGTTTTACACTGGTCCAGACCAGAGCAGAGGGGATTCATGGTTTTACACTGGTCCAGACCAGAGCAGAGGGGATTCATGGTTTTACACTGGTCCAGACCAGAGCAGAGGGGATTCATGGTCTGAACCAAGCAGGTGAAGCTGTAATCCACTGGAAGAATGCTAGTTTTTTGAAAAATGCTAACAAAGCATTCAGCGTTTTACTTTGGACCAGAGCAGAGAAAATGGTCTGAACCAAGCGGCTCCATCTCTGCTGCTGTGACCTGAAGGACTGTATTTTAATATTATTGTTACCTATTTTAAGGAGGATCTATTTATTTTTTTGTTTGGATGGATTGTTTCTGCTGCTACTGGACATCTGCATTTTTCCTACGGAGATCAATAAAGTATCTATCTACAGCAGGGGTGCTCACACTTTTTCAGCATGCGAGCTACTTATAAAAGGATCAAGTCAAAATGATCTACCTACTACAAAAATGCAAATCATATATTTCAAAAAATATTCTTTATATCTACAATGTATGTTGATGTACATGCAAAACCGCATGAGCCAATATAGCACAACACAACACAATTACCTATGTACATTTTTTGTCATTACCCGAGTTTACTCTTATGACTTGCACTGAATTGAATCGGCCAGGGATGCATAGTCCGGAAAATTGGTGGTAACTCGCTGACAAGTTTGTCGTGGTTTAGCTTTCCTGCACTGAGCGCGGTTGTTTGCGCATGTGCAGTCACCTAAGTGTCAGTAAAACATTACTGAGTAAAACACAGATGTCATTTGACTGTGGTGCCATGTCCATGTGCCATGCCTGTTTTTTTTAAATCCAAATATTTCCCCTCCTCAGTTTATAAAATAATTTGCATCCACACATCTGCGTTATCAGTCACATTCGTAACATTCCAAACATGTGCGTCTCTTACGTCCTGTCCTGCGTTGGGGAAAAACACAGAAGTGGGCGGAACTTTGATGCAGACGCCGGTAACGGCACTTTTACAGTCATAGAAGACACTCAGAGTAAAGAGTTAGACGTATGTTTACAAGCACTGACCCCGTCCTCAGCCCTGGTTTAGTCCTGGTTTAGTCCTGGTTTGGTTGTTTTCTAGCGTGAGTCCCCGCGATCACTTTGCTGCTCTCTGATGTGGAGCGAGGATGTTCGCTGCTGCGAGCATCTCACAGGGAAGAGTTTTTAAGGTAGTATGATCCATGCTTCAGTGATCGGAATTTAGGGGGGTACTGTGGCGTGCGAGAACGCAAAACTCTGGTTATCTCTGTCTACACACAAATGCATTAATGGAGTTTTCAAAAATCTCCACTTTGCCCGGAGTTTTTTGTATATATTCGTTTAGAATGTGTAATTTTTTATTTATTTAATGCGATCTACCAATACTACCTTTGCGATCGACTGGTAGATCGCGATCGACGTATTGAGCACCCCTGATCTACAGTATCTTAAATATAGATGACTTACTTTTAGAACTTTTTGATTTTTAATAAACATGCAACTGCAGCTACGACGGAAAGTTCCAGCCAATATGACACAAACAGCTGGGCTTAGATTTAATAGAAAATCAAGCTCAAACCTGTCAGACCTTCTGCATTATAATCCACCTCTTCTTCACTGTAGGGGAATTAATAAGATAAGATTAACTTTACCTATGTCCATGAGAAATGTCCATGTCACATTTGGCACAGACAGAATCACTCAGATTGTGCAAAAGACAGAAGTGTGCAACATGTTAAAGGTTAAAAATATAATGTCTGCTTTATTCACCATAACCACTGTGATATAGTTGTTTCATATGTGTTTTCCCAATGTTCAAAACCATAGACTGCTTGGAACACAACATGCATACCATCCACAGAGGTTGAGATCAATGTAAGGTATGTAAGAACGAGTTTATGTCAATCCTAAAGAAAATATATTATTGAAATGTTAAATCACAATGAAACTATAATGAATAGGTTTGCTTCCCACATTAGAAAAACAATATATACATAAATAATAAAGTATTCAGAATTTACCTCTGACCACCTCTGATGTGGAGTTTCTTACTATTTTTATTAAATGTATTCAATTAAACTTAATTCAATGTATTCTTGTATTGCCCAAAATCACAACAGTAGTTTATCACTACTTAACAAAACCATAGAAATCGCTAACACAGATCAGAGAATCAACAGTTAAAAAGAATGTGGAGATGTTTTAGATGTATCTATACAGTGCCTTGCGAAATTATTCGGCCCCCTTGAACCTTTCAACATTTCGCCACATTTCAGGCTTCAAACATAAAGATATAAAAATAATTGTTTTTGTCAAGAATCAACAACAAGTGGGACACAATCTGAAGTGGAACGAAATGTATTGGATAATTTAAACTTTTTTAACAAATAAAAAACTGAAAAGTGGGGCGTGCAATATTATCCGGCCCCCTTGCGCTAATACTTTGTAGCGCCACCTTTTGCTGCAATTACAGCTGCAAGTCGCTTGGGGTATGTCTCTATCAGTTTTGCACATCGAGAGACCGGAATTCTTGCCCATTCTTCCTTGTAAAACAGCTCGAGCTCAGTGAGGTTGGATGGAAAGCGTTTGTGAACAGCAGTCTTCAGCTCTTTCCACAGATTCTCGATTGGATTCAGGTCTGGACTTTGACTTGGCCATTCTAACACCTGGATACGTCCATTTGTGAACCATTCCATTGTAGATTTGGCTTTATGTTTTGGATCATTGTCCTGTTGGAAGATAAATCTCCGTCCCAGTCTCAGGTCTTTTGCAGACTCCAACAGGTTTTCTTCCAGAATGGTCCTGTATTTGGCTCCATCCATCTTCCCATCAATTTTAGCCATCTTCCCTGTCCCTGCTGAAGAAAAGCAGGCCCAAAGCATGATGCTGCCACCACCATGTTTGACAGTGGGGATGGTGTGTTCAGGGTGATGAGCTGTGTTGCTTTTACGCCAAACATATCGTTTTGCATTGTGGCCAAAAAGTTCGATTTTGGTTTCATCTGACCAGAGCACCTTCTTCCACATGTTTGGTGTGTCTCCCAGGTGGCTTGTGGCAAACTTTAAACAAGGCTTTTCATGGATATCTTTGAGAAATGCCTTTCTTCTTGCCACTCTTCCATAAAGGCCAGATTTGTGCAGTGCACGACTGATTGTTGTCCTATGGACAGACTCTCCCACCTCAGCTGTAGTTATCTGCAGTTCATCCAGAGTGATCATGGGCCTCTTGGCTGCATCTCTGATCAGTCTTCTCCTTGTTTGAGATGAAATTTTGGAGGGATGGCCGGGTCTTGGTAGATTTGCAGTGGTCTGATACTCCTTCCATTTCAATATAATTGCTTGCACAGTGCTCCTTGAGATGTTTAAAGCTTGGGAAATTTTTTTTGTATCCAAATCCGGCTTTAAACTTCTCCACAACAGTATCTCGGACCTGCCTGGTGTGTTCCTTTGTCTTCATGGTTCTCTCTGCGCTTTAAACAGAACCCTGAGACTATCAAAGTGCAGGTGCATTTATACGGAGAC